TCCAGTCCCAGAGACCCAGACGGAACCAGTCCCAGAACCGGAACCAGCCGAACAACCAACACCAGACCCCGTGTCAGCACTGAATCCAGTACTTGCAACCTCAACACCAGAGGGCCCCACCGAAACTGAACTGGCAGCAGCCGATAACCCTACACAAGAGGCTCAGCCAGAGCCTGAATCCCAACATAGTGCACCAGCGGAGAGCGGTTCACAGTCAACAGAAACAGCTCCATCCCCTATATCGCTTCCAGAGGGACCAAGCCTAGGTCCACAATCCAATGAGGGACTGATGTCTCCAGCATCAAGGGAACAGTTCCAGACTGAACAGGAAGCAGATGAAAGCCTCCAGAGAGCTTGGACGGCGGCACGGAGCAACCCACCGCCTCTCAGCTCTTCTAATCGATCCAGGTTTGTTGTAGAAAGAGGACTTTTATACAAGGAAACTCTTTCTGGTGGACACCAGGAAGACTGGCATCCTCAGAGACAGTTGGTAGTTCCAACTAAATACCGGGCCAAGCTCTTGAGCTTAGCCCACGATCACCCTAGTGGCCATGCTGGGGTGAACAGGACCAAAGACCGTTTGGGGGGGTCATTCCACTGGGAGGGAATGGGCAAGGATGTTTCTACCTATGTCCAGTCTTGTGAGGTGTGCCAAAGAGTGGGAAAACCCCAAGACCAGGTCAAAGCCCCTCTCCAGCCACTCCCCATCATTGAAGTTCCATTTCAGCGAGTAGCTGTGAATATTCTGGGTCCTTTTCTGAAAAAGACACCCAGAGGAAAGCAGTACATACTGACTTTCATGGATTTTGCCACCCGATGGCCGGAAGCAGTAGCTCTAAGCAACACCAGGGCTAAAAGTGTGTGCCAGGCACTAGCAGACATTTTTGCCAGGGTAGGTTGGCCCTCCGACATCCTCACAGATGCAGGGACTAATTTCCTGGCAGGAACTATGAAAAACCTTTGGGAAGCTCATGGGGTAGATCAGTTGGTTGCCACTCCTTACCACCATCAAACAAATGGCATGGTGGAGAAGTTTAATGGAACTTTGGGGGCCATGATACGTAAATTCGTAAATGAGCACTCCAATGATTGGGACCTAGTGTTGCAGCAGTTGCTCTTTGCCTACAGAGCTGTACCACACCCCAGTTTAGGGTTTTCCCCATTTGAACTTGTATATGGCTGTGAGGTTAAGGGGCCATTGCAGTTGGTGAAGCAGCAATGGGAGGGATTTACACCTTCTCCAGGAACTAACATTCTGGACTTTGTAACCAACCTACAAAACACCCTCCGAACCTCTTTAACCCTTGCTAAAGAAAACTTACAGGATGCTCAAAAAGAGCAAAAAGCCTGGTATGATAAACATGCCAGAGAGCGTTCCTTCAAAGTAGGGGACCAGGTCATGGTCTTAAAGGCGCTCCAGGCCCATAAAATGGAAGCATCGTGGGAAGGGCCATTCACGGTCCAGGAGCGCCTGGGAGCTGTTAATTATCTCATAGCATTCCCCACCTCCAACTGAAAGCCTAAGGTGTACCATATTAATTCTCTAAAGCCCTTTTATTCCAGAGAATTAAAGGTTTGTCAGTTTACAGCCCAGGGAGGAGACGACGCTGAGTGGCCCGAAGGTGTCTACTACGAAGGGAAATGTGGTGGTGGTGTGGAAGAGGTGAACCTCTCCATGACCCTTGGGCGTATGCAGCGACAGCAGATCCAGGAGCTGTGCACTAGCTACGCGCCAACGTTCTCAGCCACCCCAGGACTGACTGAACGGGCATACCACTCCATTGACACAGGTAATGCTCACCCAATTAGGGTCCAACCTTACCGGGTGTCTCCTCAAGCTAAAACTGCTATAGAACGGGAGATCCAGGATATGTTACAGATGGGTGTAATCCGCCCCTCTGAAAGTGCATGGGCATCTCCAGTGGTTCTAGTTCCCAAACCAGATGGGGAAATACGTTTTTGCGTGGACTACCGTAAGCTAAATGCTGTAACTCGCCCAGACAACTATCCAATGCCACGCACAGATGAACTATTAGAGAAACTGGGACGGGCCCAGTTCATCTCTACCTTGGACTTAACCAAGGGGTACTGGCAGGTACCGCTAGATGAATCTGCCAAGGAAAGGTCAGCCTTCACCACACATCTCAGGCTGTATGAATTTAATGTACTCCCTTTCGGGCTGCGAAATGCACCCGCCACTTTCCAAAGACTTGTAGATGGTCTCCTAGCGGGATTAGGAGAATATGCAGTCGCCTACCTTGACGATGTGGCCATATTTTCAGATTCCTGGGCAGACCACCTGGAACATCTACAAAAAGTCCTTGAGCGCATAAGGGAGGCAGGACTAACTGTTAAGGCTAAGAAGTGTCAAATAGGCCTAAACAGAGTGACTTACCTTGGACACCAGGTGGGTCAAGGAACTATCAGCCCCCTACAGGCCAAAGTGGATGCTATCCAAAAGTGGCCTGTCCCAAAGTCAAAGAAACAGGTTCAATCCTTCTTAGGCTTGGCCGGTTATTACAGACGATTTGTACCGCACTACAGCCAAATCGCCGCCCCACTGACAGACCTAACCAAAAAGAAACAGCCAAATGCTGTTCAGTGGACCGAAAAGTGCCAGAAGGCCTTTAACAAGCTTAAAGCGACACTCATGTCTGACCCTGTACTAAGGGCCCCAGACCTTGAGAAACCGTTCCTAGTAACCACAGATGCGTCCGAGCGTGGTGTGGGAGCAGTTTTAATGCAGAAAGGACCTGATCAAGAATTCCACCCTGTAGTGTTTCTCAGCAAAAAACTGTCTGAGAGGGAAAGCAACTGGTCAGTCACTGAAAAAGAATGTTACGCCCTTGTCTACGCTCTGGAAAAGCTACGCCCATATGTTTGGGGATGGCGTTTCCACCTGCAAACCGACCATGCTGCACTGAAGTGGCTTCACACAGTCAAGGAAACTAACAAAAAACTTCTTCGGTGGAGTTTAGCTCTCCAAGATTTTGATTTCGACATCCAACACATCTCAGGAGCTTCTAACAAAGTGGCTGATGCACTCTCCCGTGAAAGTTTCCCAGAATCAACTGGTTAAAATCGTCCTTGAGATGTGGAAAATATTGTTAGTTTTTATGTACTTGGTAGTATATTTAGAGATGCATGTGTCTTATTAACTCTAGGAAAAACAGAGCTCCAGGAAGAAATCCCAGCCAGTGTTTCACCCTAGCTGAGATTTGGGGGGCGTGTCATAAATATAAAGGGAAGAGTAAACCCCTTTGAAATCCCTCCTGGCCAGGGGAAAGCTCCTCTCACCTGTAAAGGGTTAAGAAGCTAAAGGTAACCTCGCTGGCACCTGACCAAAATGACCAATGAGGAGACAAGATACTTTCAAAAGCTGGGAGGAGGGAGAGAAACAAAGGGTCTGTGTGTCTGTCTATATGCTGGTCTTTGCCGGGGATAGACCGGGAATGGAGTCTTAGAACTTTTAGTAAGTAACTAGCTAGGTATGTGTTAGATTATGATTTCTTTAAACGGCTGAGAAAAGAATTGTGCTGAATAGAATAACTATTTCTGTCTGTGTATCTTTTTTGTAACTTAAGGTTTTGCCTAGAGGGGTTCTCTATGTTTTTGAATCTAATTACCCTGTAAGATATCTACCATCCTGATTTTACAGGGGGGATTTCTTTATTTCTATTTACTTCTATTTTTATTAAAAGTCTTCTTGTAAGAAAACTGAATGTTTTTTCATTGTTCTCAGATCCAAGGGTTTGGGTCTGTGGTCACCTATGCAAATTGGTGAGGCTTTTTATCCAACATTTCCCAGGAAAGGGGGGGTGCAAGTGTTGGGAGGATTGTTCATTGTTCTTAAGATCCAAGGGTCTGGGTCTGTAGTCACCTAGGCAAATTGGTGAGGCTTTTTACCAAACCTTGTCCAGGAAGTGGGGTGCAAGGTTTTGGGAAGTATTTTGGGGGGAAAGACGCGTCCAAACAGCTCTTCCCCAGTAACCAGTATTAGTTTGGTGGTGGTAGCGGCAAGGACAAAGGGTGGAATATTTTGTACCTTGGGGAAGTTTTGACCTAAGCTGGTAAAGATAAGCTTAGGAGGTTTTTCATGCAGGTCCCCACATCTGTACCCTAGAGTTCAGAGTGGGGGAGGAACCTTGACACCAGCCATTAAACAAAAAAAAAATCTAATGCATTTTCTAGCTAGATTACTTACTAACTTAACAGGAGTTGGAAGGCTTGAATTTCTGATCTGTTCCCGGCAAAAGCATCACACAGACAGACAGAACCCTTTGTTTCTCCCCCCACCTCCAGATTTGAAAGTATCTTGTCCCCTCATTGGTCATTTTGGGTCAGGTGCCAGCGAGGTTACCTTAGCTTCTTAACCCTTTACAGGTGAAAGGGTTTTGCCTCTGGCCAGGAGGGATTTTATAGCACTGTATACAGAAAGGTGGTTACTCTTCCCTTTATATTTATGACAGGGGTTTACATGTGGATGTCCTGGTCATGATAGCAGGGGTTCTGCAGATCAAGCCCTCATACACTAATAGCACTCCCAAATGATAGCTTTCATGTTTTTAAAAAGTGTTTTATTGGGTGTCATCACATTTTTTTTTATCTGTAGATTGTTTTTTCTTTAATAGTTGATACAACTTGATAAAGCTTTTTTTAAAATGTTCTTAAAGCTTTCCACTGCTAGTTTTGTCTTCAGCTGACAAGCAGGGTATAAAGAGCACCTCTGCTGGGTATTTGAGTAATGTATACCATTTACAATTTTGCACATAATCACCAGTTCACATTAAGTATGAGAAGTAAGTATTTTTTTTAAAAGTACTGCTATATCAACTGGATAATTGTAGTATTATTTATAAGACCACACAAACATTTTGATTCTGTATTCATAAATAATAATTGGTTCACTGCCCACCTTAAATTGCCATAAGAGAGCCTAAAACTGTTTTAAAATAACAAAAGGATATAGTTTGAAAAGTACTATTTTGCAACATACATACCATTCCCATTTGCGTGAACTGAATAATCATTATTCATTAGCAGTGTGGTGGAATTAGTAGAGTTACTGTTTGATTGTAAGGAATTGGAAGAACTGGATACTCCTTGGTTTACAGTCAGCTTCTTTAAACCATTAGTAGCAGTTCTACTCCAATCTATAGTAGAATAAGTGGTACAGAAAATAGTGCAGTACATTCAAGCAAAAATAAATGCAAGAGTACAGTTAATAATGCAATTTAACTTAACTTCTACCAAAGATCTTTTCCCAATATTTCAGATAGAAAACTATTCTCCTAGGAATTGCATAATTCTAGATGTGTAAGAATTTACATTTTCTCTTTTTTAATTTCTTAGTTTTAAAAAGTCACTAATCATACTTTTGTGACTGTAGGCCCATTTAGAGATTATCAGTAACTGCAACCGCAGTACTTCACCTTTGAGTTTAAACTGTGTAAGGGTGCATATAACTTTTCAAAGACAATTATGGTACAAAGAAAGACTCACCCCCCACCCCCCAAATTGATAGGAACACACATTATTCTCAAAGCTGCTTCTGACCCTGCTCCCACTGAAGTTATTCCTAAGGCTACCACTGACTTTGAGGAAGCAGATCTTTGGGGGTTGATTTAGGTCCCAGTCATACAAAGGACTCCACAAGGCTGCAGCCTTACACATATGCAGAGTCCCAATCAATCAAAATTAATACTTTATACAGCAGTATTTTGCAATTAAATAAAATGCAATCTTTATGCATCAGGAAAATAAAACAAAGTAGTAGATAGCAATATTTCCAGATCTATGCCATTTATTGCATAACAATATTTGCTCAGGACAATGGGGACTTTACACCTGACTTTAATTATATAATTTACATATTTAGAAAGCAGTGTTTAATATTTACCAGAATTTTCAGCCAGCCTGAATTTTCCACAACACAGATATAGTCTCCATTGTTTGCGGACATTTTCCTTTGCCACACAGTAGAAAATAAAAATGAAGAATCCTGCAAAGTACCAAATGTCAGAATATTACTTCAAGCCACAGAATTTTTGCCGTTTTGTAACTTTTTTAAATGGATGTATCATTTTCCTTTTGTTTCTTCTCAAGTCAACTGATTCCAATCAAATGCTCTCACACCTTCTTTTTCAGAAGAAACACTGATAGTCTAAACAATGGACTGATGCCATTAGCTGAAAATGCTTTTTCTCATTACACTTGCACGATATGTATTAGATATAAGGAGGATACAGAGTACCAAAAATACAAATGCATCAGGTAACGGAGTTTAAAACATGAAGATCTGTGTGGAGCTACATGTTTATTTGAATCTTCCAGTACAGAAATCAAGACAAGATAACAACACAGTCTTGTTATAGCTGTACAATTTCAAATAGGAGGTATAATCAAGTGCATAACTTTGGCTTTCTCCACGTACTTTGTGGAACTTCTCCGTATTTTATTTGGAGTTAATATATTGCTGCTGGTGGTGATGGAATCAATAGAACACACTTACAGACCAGTGTCCGTGTTGATAAGCCACTGGGGCAAATTTTATTAAACAAATACAAATTCAAGGTTACGAGGCAGCTTTTGGTCTCCCCTTCCCTCGCTTCCCCCCCCCCCCAACCAATCACAATTAAGTCATAGTGAAAGCCCACATAGGCTAACAACTCATGCTCAAATAACAGTAATTGTAGCCCTCTTCACCACAAATTGAAAGCCACATCTTTTCCTGGAAGGATGCAACTCACACAATGTGGGAGTACCTCAAACTGTGCCAGGTCACAAATACACTTGCTACTCACGGCTTCCTATACAGAGTGGAACTGTACTTGCTTCCAAACCTTCCACTTTTCAAAGAAAGCATGTCAGAAATATTTACACTGCCTTCCAGCTACAATTTATCAAAGAAGAATGTGGTTGTGCAATTCTTTAAATTAGATTACAGGGAATGAAAAATAAAGGAGAAGCTACAAGTTTGGACTGGAGAAGACAGAGATTAGCATTTTCTGGACCAGTTCTCAGGGTAAGTTAGACCCCTAACTCCCATTGTCTTCAACAGGATTTAGGCACCTAGTTGCTTTTGAAAATCTGCTGCTTTGGGCACTTCAATTTGGCCCTAATGCTCAGATTTTTAATGGCATTTAGATGTTGCTCTGCTCATTGTTGCAAGGCCTAAGGCCCACATCCTCAAAGATATTTAGACATTTAACTCCCATTGAAATTAGTGGGATTTTCAGATCTGGGCCTAAGTGACTTAGACAGGTAAGTCCCATCTTCAGAAGTGACTTAGGCACTGAGAAGTGTAAGTCACAGTGAAAGCCAATTGGAATCAGCCTCCTAAGTGCCTAAGTTACTTTTGAAAATGGGACTCAGCCATCTAAGTCACTGATACCTTGCAATGCTGAATGGAACAACACCTAATTACTTTTAAAAATTGGGTCCTAAATGCCTAACTCACATTTGAAAATGCAACATAGGGTAAACATTTTCAAAAGCAAATCAATTACATCAGAGCCTAAATGACCCAATAGGTCTTTTGTCTTGTAGCTTCTCTGATTCTATGAATGGACCTTAAGACAATAATTGTAATTACAATGCACTCAGAAAGACAGCATGTCACTTCTGAAAGTGTTTGCTTTGCGTTAATTTTCTTTAAATGTAATACAACAATTAAGAAGGGTCATCTTCAAGGTAGTTTTATTTTTTATATTACGTAACAGCAAAGATATAATTTTTGGTAAACACTTGTGCATAATAAAGCATTTCTTAAAATGGAATTATTCATTACATTTTTATACAAAAGGCCATAACAAAGCATAAACTTACCTTGTAACGTGTTAAAGATGGCGAAGAGGTACATAAATATCAGATTTACTGGCCCCCATGCAAAAAAGGCAAATCCCCAAGTAATTCCCAATAAGAATGTGAGGCCTGCAACACTCCTGAGGTCTTGAATACTGGTTTTTCTCTGAGTTCCAAGTTGTTTCTTCTTTTTGATTCGACAAAGCTGAATCAGCACCACTATAAACATGCTGACGTTCAACAGGAATATCATGCAGAAGTATCCCACAACAGTAATATAGAAGACAATGTTATTGTTGATCCAGCAGCTAGAATACAAAAACAAAGGAGGAAAGATCATATTATCAGACATTCATTTTAGTAATAGGTATTAGGTAAAGAATAGTATTAGGCATGGCTATATTTTGTTGAAAACACTTCATCCTGCAATACTCAAGGCCACATACACTGATTCAAGTTTTCATCTCTCTATCTAGGTATTTATAACAGTGTCCATCATCATCTATCTGAATGAATCCCAAGGGCTAAAGCAAAAAAAAATACACCAATGGATTAGGTTTAGGTTTCCCGTTTCTTTAGGCAATATGATGTTTTTTGTTTGTTTTGTTTTTCACATTTAGGCTTGCTTTCTTCTACACTCTACTCTTCATCCCCCATCTCCTTTCTTTCTCTTGTCTTGCCTTCACCTTATTTTCATGCTCTAGCTCCATGCCAGTGTTTTGGAGTATACCCTCTTTTGTGACCAGGATCAGAGCCTTGCAAACAGTTTCAGGAAGAAACTTAATATATACTGCAGAGATTTATTCACAGAAGTGTCACTTTCAGGAAAGAAGCTCACATACACACTCACACATAACCATTAGATAAAAGCATTCTGTTAGCATTCACTTTTAAAATATGCCTATCTTTTAACTTACAATTCATCTGGTGAGCCATTAGGAAACTTTCCATATGATCCAAGCCCATAGTTATTTGGTGTTATAGCCAATACAATGCCTACCACTAAAAGTGGTACACCTGAAAGATTAGATAATAGTTATCACAAAACTTTCACTCAGAATTATGAGATGAAATTACTATATTATCCTATGAAACCTAGGGCCAGGTTATGAAGGCTGTCGGAGACTGTTATATCATGATAACTTACTTTGTAAAAGGCAAAATAAACTGGCACACATTTGAAGTTTTAATCTTTCTGAACAAGACTATATATTCTGTGACTTGATCCAATTATATCACTTGCAACCTACAGTAAACTAGCAACATGTGTTACATATGCTCTTTGATATTACAGATTTAAGGACATGAAATACAATGGGCTTGCTTTTGCCTCTCACACCTGTTTTACACTAGTTTAACTCCATTGTTTTCAGTGCAGTTACTCCTGATTTACAATAATGGGTAAGAGAAGAGAATCAGGCCTAGGGTTTTCTCATCACTTAAGTCGTAGGCACCGTTTTGCTACCTTTTTTTAGAAACAGTAGCACTCTAGAGGTAGAATATGTAGTTGATATTCTGGAGCAATAACATTAATTTCCCCAATGGAAGAGATACCATCTGCTTTGGGGGTTGGAGATGGAAATAGTCAAATGTGTAATTGGCTCTCAGGCAGCTGCAACTGTAGTTCCAACAGAAACAATTTATGATTCATTTGAATTGCAATAGCATCCACAATATATTGTGGATGCCCCAGAAGAACTTACAATCTGAAAAACTTTGCAACAAGGGGTGAATTCTGCAACATGCTAAAGTCACAGAATAGTGAAGTAAATAGAACCCTGTTATTGATAATGCATCTGAGATTCTTACAGGCAACAGGTATTTGATACTTGCTTTGTTGTTCCTTTTAAATCGTCTTCCATCCACCAAAATTGTTGTAAAGAAACTATATTTATTTTAGGCTAACAAATTTATTTGAGCATAAGCTTTCGTGAGCTACAGCTTACTTCATCGGAGGTAGCTCACGAAAGCTTATGCTCAAATAAATTTGTTAGTCTCTAAGGTGCGACAAGTACTCCTTTTCTTTTTGAGAATACAGACTAACATGGCTGCTACTCTGAAACCTATATTTATTTTAGGTTCCAAAACCAGAAAAATATACATACCCCAGCCAACGATACAAAACTTAAGGATGTATTTCCGTACATAGGTATTAAACACTTTGACAAGGGCAAGATACATGTGGAATGCTTCCAGGCCCATCCAAGTGAAGGAAACCAAGAGGAAATAATGAAGAAATACAGCAACTGTGATGCACAGGCCTCGTATGTTATACAGAGCAATCCATGAATCAAGGAGGAAAGCTAGGTTGAGTAGAAGTAATGCAGCACACAGCTGAATAAGGATTTTGGAAGGGTAGTCTCTCCGGATTTTCCTAAAAAGAAAATGAGTGAGATGATATAAGCTTTCATCATTCTACGAGCATTACTGTAGATCTCACATTGATTCTGTGTTCTTTGGTCCTTAATGCAGAAGAGCCACTAAGAGAACACATTTTACGCATGGTTAAGAAGTATTTATGAATGAAAAGGTTAATATTTGTGACATCACTATTCTTGTTACAACCAGGTTCTAAACTCTTATAAATACAAACATTCTTGCTTAAATTTCATTTGTCTTAGTTTAATGTTCGTTTAAATATTGTATTACTTTTGTCCATATTTTTCTATTTTGTATATTAGGCTTCTTATTGTTGGAGTACTTCACCACAACAACACTCATCACATTCTCTACTATTAAGAGGTTAGACTAAACCTGTAAAAAGGCTTTCAGGACATCTGGAAACCTTGACAGTGGCAAATAATAATCTAATGATAGGTGAGTAGGAAAGTACTATAAAAGGATGCTCATAAATCATGCCCAGGGGTTCTCCCTCAAGATGTATAATTGGCCTAATGGACTGAATAACTGAGATTCTAGTAACATGTAGGTTCTGACAACTTACAGGGAAAGCTAGTGTAGCGTAACTGCATTTTATTGCACAAGAGCGACACAGTCTAACAACATGTTGATATTTTGGAAGTGTATTGTGCATATATGTACCTTATTTTTAAAAGACTCCTTGTACATTCCACTTTATGAGGACAATTTGTAGAACCCCTTCCCAGCTCCTTGGCTTCCAGCTATACAAAACTGCATGGTAATTATTTTATTTATAATATACTCTCCCCTGGTGAGAATCAATTCTTGATATACACCCCTTAAAGTGTACCCATTCTGTGTACTACTATTGAGGTACAAATTAAACCTACTAGAAAAAATAGTTACTAACCTCTGCTTAACTGTTGTTCTTTGAGATGTGTTATACATGTCCATTCCAAGGAAGGTGTGTGCATGCCCCGAGCACAGTCACGAGAAATTTTTCCCTCAGTGGCAGTGGTACCTGTCAGAGTGGCTCTGGTGCTGCACATTCGTAGTGCCAGTATGAAGGGCCCAGATGACCCTGCACCTCCTCAGTTCCTTCTATCCAGCCAACTCCGAAAAAGAGGGGTAGGACGGTGGGTTCTGGAATAGACATGTGCAACACATCTCGAAGAACAACAGTTACAGAAAGGTTATTAAATGATTTTTCTTCTTTGAGTGATTGCACATGTCCATTCCAATTTAAGGATGTAGATAAATCCCAAAAAGTTGCATAAGAGGTGGGATCAGAGTTCATGGACATGCTGACCGTAAAACAGCTTGACCGAAATGGGCATCGTCCCTAGCTTGTTGAGTAAAGGTGTAATGACGAGAGAATGTATGCACTGACATCCAAGTCACCACTCTGCAAACGTCCTGAATAGGGACCTGAGCCAAGAATGCTGCTGCTGCTGCTGTTTGCGCTCTCATGGAGTGGGCAGTCAGGATATCTGGTGGTGGAACACCCACCTGCTCATAACATGTACAAATGCACGATGTAATCCACGATAAAAGTCTGAGCTGAGATAGGGACACCTTTCTTCCTTTCAGCAATCGCTACAAAGAGTTGGATGGATCTACAGAATGATTTAGTCCTCTCTGTGTAGAACACTAAGGCAGTCTAACACCCAGAGTGTGAAGACATTGCTCCTCCCTACTTGCATGTGGCTTTGAGGAGAAAACAGGCAGGAAGATTGCCTGATTACTATGAAACAGGGAAACCACCTTCAGGAGGAAGCTGGAGGACGCAGCTGCACCTTATCCTTAAAAAAAAAAACCATGTATGGAGGCTCCGATGTGAGGGTGCAGATCTCCAAGACTTTTCTGTCCGAAGTAATGGCCACTCAGAAAGCCACCTTCCATGAAAGGTATGACAAGGGACATATTGCCAATGGCTCAAACAGGAAACCCATAAGTTTTGATAAGACCAGGTTTAAGTCCCATGGAAGGATGGGTTCCTGTACTTGGGGGTATAGTCTTTCCAGGCCCTTGGGGAAATGGATGGACATCTCATGAAAAGGCGAACCAGCTTTCCACCAGGGGATGAAATGCTGAAATCGTTGCAAGGTGGACCTTAATTGAGGAAATTGCTAAACATTGCTGTTTCAAGCATAGCAAATAGTCGAGCATGTCCTGCAGAGACAACTGTGTGGGTGAGACTCCCTGCTGGGAAGCCAATATGGAGTACCGCCTCCATTTTGAGAGGTACATAGCCCTGGTGGAGGGAGCTGAGGTTCGAGTGGAGCAGACGACTGTAGTCCAGGGAGATCAGGTCCAAATATAGAAGGAGTAGAATTGGAGCAGCCACAGAAAGGCCTAGCAGTGTGGCAAACCAGTGCTGATGGAGTCAAGGTGGGGCTATCAGAATGACCCACGCCCGATCCCGCTTGGTTTTTAGCAGAACCTTGTGCATGAGTAGGATAGAGGGGAAAGCGTAGAACAGGTGACCTGTCCATGGGAGCAAGAAGGCATCTGTGAGCAAACCTGGGCTGTGGACTCGCAGGGAGCAAAACTGGTGACACTTTCTGTTGAGCCCAGTTGCAGACAGGTCTATCTGGGGAGTCCCCCACCACTGGGAAGCATCCCTCATGATGTCCAGGAAAAGGGACCACTTATGATGATTGAAGGTTGCTGAGGCAATCTGCCAGTTCGTTTTGCACTCCTGAAAGGTGAGAAGCCTCAAGACAAATTACATGGGCTATGCAGAACTCCCATAAGTGGATTGCTTCCTGATACCCGCATAAGGCCTGGAGTCAACAGTGCCAACTGATGCCAAGGCAGAGGAGTGGCCTGATTTAGGTTGCACTCTGCTCTGTTTCCCAGGCCTGGAGTTGGGAAATGTCCCCTCTTGGCTGGCTGCCCCCTGTGCCCCTTCCTCGGCACCAAGGCTAGCAAATGGTGCCAGGTTTCCTACACCATAGGAAAACCACTCCTCAGTGACACTGAGGTGTTCAGTGCCAAGTCTGACCAGCTCAGCTAGGAGGAAGGTCTCAGCGCCGCCTCCATGAGGCAAAACTTCAATATACCCTGCCAGTCATTTTGGTACGGGGTTTAAAGTCCCTGCAATTTTGGCACCAGTCCCCAATGTGAGCCTCACCCAAGCACTTCAAACAACTCAGGGGCATTGCCTTATTGCAGGTGACACAGGACTTGAAGCCCAGTGACCAAGGCATGCCTTGGCACCGGGTATGGAGAAAACTCTGCTAACTAACTGGAAACAATGAGGAGTCTGGTGGCACCTTAAAGACTAACAGATTTATTTGGGCATAAACTTTCGTGGATAAAAAACCCACTTCTTCAGATGCATGGAGTGAAAATTACAGATACCCGCATAAATATATATTGACACATGAAGAGAAGGGAGTTACCTTACAAGTGGGAACCAGTGTTGACAAGGCCAATTTAGTCAGGGTGGATGTGGTCCACTCCCAATAATTGATGAGGAGATGTCAATACCAAGAGTGGAAAAATTGCTTTTGAAGTGAGCCAGCCACTCCCAGTCCCTATTCAAGCCCAAATTGATGGTGTTAAGTTTGCAAATGAATTGTAGCTCAGCAGTTTCTCTTTGAAGTCTGTTTTTGAAGTTTTTTTGTTGACGTATGGCTACTTTTAAATCTGTTATTGAGTGTCCAGGGAGACTGAAGTGCTTTCCTACTGGCTTGGGTGTGTGAAATGCACATCACACGATCCCACTGTCTACAGCCAAGTCTTAAGATACAATCACATTTGCTCCAACCCCTCAGACAGAGACAAAAACACCTACAAGATTTTTATCAAGCGTTCTTAAAACTACAATACTCACCTGGGGAAGAAAGGAAACAGATTGACAGAGCCAGAAGAGTACCCAGAAATCACCTGCTACAGGACAGGCCCAACAAGGAAAATAACAGAACACCACTGACCATCATGTACAGCTCCCAGCTAAAACCTCTCCAGCGCATCATCAACGATCCCTCACTCTCCCAGACCTTGGGAGACAGGCCAATCCTTGCTTACAGACAGCACCCCAACCTGAAGCAAATACCAGCAACTACACACCACACCACAGAAACACTAACCCAGGAACCAATCCCTGTAACAAACCCCGTTGCCTTCTCTGTCCCCATATCTACGCTAGCGATGCCATCATACGACCCAACCATATCAGCCACACCATCAGAGGCTCATTCACTTGCACATCTACTAATGTGATATAAGCCATCATGTGCCAGCAATGCCCCTCTGCCATGTACATTGGCCAAACCAGACAGTCTCGACACAAAAGAATAAATGGACACAAATCAGACATCAGGAATGGTAACATACAAAAGCCAGTAGGAGAACACTTCAATCTCCCTGGACACTCAATAACAGATTTAAAAGTAGCCATACGTCAACAAAAAAACTTCAAAAACAGACTTCAAAGAGAAACTGCTGAGCTACAATTCATTTGCAAACTTAACACCATCAATTTGGGCTTGAATAGGGACTGGGAGTGGCTGGCTCATTACAAAAGCAATTTTCCTTCTCTTGGTATTGACACCTCTTCATCAATTATTGGGAGTGGACCACAACCACCCTGACTGAATTGGCCCTGTCAACACTGGTTCTCCACTTGTAAGGTAACTCCCTTCTCTTCATGTGCCAATAAATATTTATGCCTGTATCTGTAATTTTCACTCCATGCATTTGAAGAAGTGGATTTTTTGCCCACGAGAGCTTATGCCCAAATAAATCTGTTAGTCTTTAAGGTGTCACCGGACTCCTTGTTGTTTTTGTGCATACAGACTAACACAGCTACCCCTCTAATAACTGGAAACACACTATGTACAACAATCTGAAAGGAAGTCCACTGAAAAGCTTACTGTAGCCAGGGGAACAGTTCCAGCGACCATCACAGGCGGTAAGAAGAAACTGAGGGGCACAGGGTCAGTTGGGCCCTTTTAACCAGCACTATGAGCACACAGCACCAGAGCCACACTGACGGGTACCATGGAGGAAGAAATTTCTGGCGACTGTGCTCGGGGCACACACACACCTACATTGGAATGGACCTGTGCAATCACTTGAAGAAGAAAGGACTCATCCATTGTCCTTCAGAGCGGTAGTTATGGACAATCATGATCAAGTTTATAATGTAAGTTTAACTCTGCAGGTACTTACTCAAAGGCTATGTAGGTTACAAGAGTAACAGAAAGAAAAATTGCAGAAAGGCCACAGCCGATATAGGTGATAAAAGTCAGAACCAGTGTCTGGATGGGTGGTAAAGTAATATTTCTAGACAGGTCCTAAAAAGAAAACAGAAATTATCTTTAAGGGGTATGCTTCTTTGAAATAAACAAACAAAACCCCATTCCACTGTATTTAAAAAAAAAAAAACATGGAAACATTTCTGTTCGTGTTAGATTAAATACAAGCTGAATTTTAAAAAAAACTAAATATGGGGTTATATTTGACCCAAGAGTATCCCTTTAGTTTTGATTTATCCCCATCTTCTTTCCTGCAGAATAATCACTGCTTAAAATTAAGGGCCCTGATTTATCAAGGCACTTAAGTACCCTTAGAGTATGTCTACATCACAATTAAAAACCTGTGGCTGGCCCATGCCAGCTGACTCAGTCTTGCAGGACTTAGGCTAAGGGGCTGTTTAATTTCAGTGTAGACTTTTGGGCTTGGGCTGGAGTCCAGGCTCTAGGAACCTGCGAAGTAGGAGGGCCCCAGAGTCTGGGCTGCAGCCTGAGCTCGAACATCTATTCTACAGTTAAACATCCCCTTAGCCCAAGCCCAGCGAGCCCAAGTCAGTTGACTCAGGCCAGCTGTGGGTGTCTAGTTGCAGTGTAGACAAACCCTTAGACTTCAATGGTTCTATTCATGCCCCCAGTTCAACAACCTCATTTGCTTAAAGTTAAGCATGTGCATGAGTGCTTTCCTGAATCAGGGATCCAAATATACTGGTTTGGAATATTATTTATAACTAATTACCAGCAAAACTCCAAAGCTTGTGAGGTGGTTGCATGTACAAACGGTTTCATTTGCTCTCCTTTCTTTAACCATGCATCCTTCATATGACCAGCCTCCTTTGCCAGCTGTAACAGATAACAAGATTCCATTACTGATAATATTTACAATATCTCTTAAAACGGTTAACAAAAGTTAACACAGCTGAGATGGCATGGCACTTAGAAATGGTGATATCAAATACTTACCATTTTTATTTAAGTCCCAAAATGCACATCTAACTTTTAAATTATCCTGTTTGAAAAAAATACACACATTTTACTGAATTATAAGTGATGAGCAAGGCAGTTATGAGTGTAAAATGGACAGAGAAGTAAAGACTGTCTATAGCAATACAACATAATAAGGAAAAGCTATTTCTTCTGTGTTACCTAAGGTGTACAGAAATGTGGATATACACAACAAACTAAAATTGGGCTATATGGGTAGCTCTATTGCCTTCAGCTTGTGCAAAATGATTATTGGTGGTAGGAATAGGGGCTTTTCCTAACTACCTGCTGTTTTGTTGTCTGTATGCACAGTGCAGATTGAAGATTAAAATAAAATCTTTCCAAGTTTCTCACATCCTAAATGACAGGTTTCAGAGTAACAGCCGTGTTAGTCTGTATTCGCAAAAAGAAAAGGAGTACTTGTGGCACCTTAGAGACAAACCAATTTATTTGAGCATGAGCTTTCGTGAGCTACAGCTCACTTCATCGGATGCATACCGTGGAAACTGCAGCAGACTTTATATATACACAGAGAATATGAAACAATACCTCCTCCCACCCCACTGTCCTGCTGGTAATAGCTTATCTAAAGTGATCATCAGGTGGGCCATTTCCAGCACAAATCCAGGTTTTCTCACCCTCCACCCCCCCACACAAATTCACTCTCCTGCTGGTGCTAGCCCATCCAAAGTGACAACTCTTTACATAATCAAGTCGGGCTATTTCCTGCACAAATCCAGGTTTTCTCACATCCCTCCCACCCCCATACACACACAAACTCACTCTCCTGCTGGTAATAGCTCATCTAAAGTGACCACTCTCCAAGTTTAAATCCAAGTTAAACCAGAACATCTGGGGGGGGGGGTAGGGAAAAAACAAGAGGAAACAGGCTACCTTGCATAATGACTTAGCCACTCCCAGTCTCTATTTAAGCCTAAATTAATAGTATCCAATTTGCAAATGAATTCCAATTCAGCAGTTTCTCGCTGGAGTCTGGATTTGAAGTTTTTTTGTTTTAAGATAGCGACCTTCATGTCTGTGATTGCGTGACCAGAGAGATTGAAGTGTTCTCCGACTGGTTTATGAATGTTATAATTCTTGACATCTGATTTGTGTCCATTTATTCTTTTACGTAGAGACTGTCCAGTTTGACCAATGTACATGGCAGAGGGGCATTGCTGGCACATGATGGCATATATCACATTGGTGGATGTGCAGGTGAACGAGCCTCTGATAGTGTGGCTGATGTTATTAGGCCCTGTGATGGTGTCCCCTGAATAGATATGTGGGCACAATTGGCAACGGGCTTTGTTGCAAGGATAAGTTCCTGGGTTAGTGGTTCTGTTGTGTGGTATGTGGTTGTTGGTGAGTATTTGCTTCAGGTTGCGGGGCTGTCTGTAGGCAAGGACTGGCCTGTCTCCCAAGACTTGTGAGAGTGTAGGGTCATCCTTTAGGATAGGTTGTAGATCCTTAATAATGCGTTGGAGGGGTTTTAGTTGGGGGCTGACGGTGACCGCTAGTGGCATTCTGTTATTTTCTTTGTTAGGCCTGTCCTGTAGTAGGTAACTTCTGGGAACTCTTCTGGCTCTATCAATCTGTTTCTTTACTTCTGCAGGTGGGTATTGTAGTTGTAAGAAAGCTTGACAGAGATCTTGTAGGTGTTTGTCTCTGTCTGAGGGGTTGGAGCAAATGCGGTTGTATCGCAGAGCTTGGCTGTAGACGATGGATCGTGTGGTGTGGTCAGGGTGAAAGCTGGAGGCATGCAGGTAGGAATAGCGGTCAGTAGGTTTCCGGTATAGACTCTCCAACACGAGTTTCTACAAGCCATTACCCTATGATCCCACTGAGAGTTACCAAAAGCAACTACAGCATTTGCTCAAGAAACTTCCTGAAAAAGCACAAGATCAAATCCGCACAGACACACCCCTGGAACCCCGACCTGGGATATTCTATCTACTACCCAAGATCCATAAACCTGGAAATCCTGGGCACCCCATCATCTCAGGCATTGGCACCCTGACAGCAGGATTGTCTGGCTATGTAGACTTCTTCCTCAGGCCCTACGCTACCAGCACTCCCAGCTACCTTCGAGACACCACTGACTTCCTGAGGAAACTCCAATCCATCGGTGATCTTCCTGATAACACCATCCTGGCTACTATGGATGTAGAAGCCCTCTACACCAACATTCCACACAAAGATGGACTACAAGCCGTCAAGAACACTATCCCCGATAATGTCACGGCTAACCTGGTGGCTGAACTTTGTGACTTTGTCCTTACCCATAACTATTTCACATTTGGGGACAATGTATACCTTCAGATCAGCGGCACTGCTATGGGTACCCGCATGGCCCCACAGTATGCCAACATTTTTATGGCTGATTTAGAACAACGCTTCCTCAGGTCTCGTCCCCTAAAGCCCCTACTCTACTTGCGCTATATTGATGACATCTTCATCATCTGGACCCATGGAAAAGAAGCCCTTGAGGAATTCCACCATGATTTCAACAATTTCCATCCCACCACCAACCTCAGCCTGGTCCAGTCCACACAAGAGATCCACTTCCTGGACACTACAGTGCTAATAAACAATGGCCACATAAACACCACCCTATACCGGAAACCTACTGACCGCTATTCCTACCTGCATGCCTCCAGCTTTCACCCTGACCACACCACACGATCCATCGTCTACAGCCAAGCTCTGCGATACAACCGCATTTGCTCCAACCCCTCAGACAGAGACAAACACCTACAAGATCTCTGTCAAGCTTTCTTACAACTACAATACCCACCTGCAGAAGTAAAGAAACAGATTGATAGAGCCAGAAGAGTTCCCAGAAGTTACCTACTACAGGACAGGCCTAACAAAGAAAATAACAGAATGCCACTAGCGGTCACCGTCAGCCCCCAACTAAAACCCCTCCAACGCATTATTAAGGATCTACAACCTATCCTAAAGGATGACCCTACACTCTCACAAGTCTTGGGAGACGGGCCAGTCCTTGCCTACAGACAGCCCCGCAACCTGACGCAAATACTTACCAACAACCACATACCACACAACAGAACCACTAACCCAGGAACTTATCCTTGCAACAAAGCCCGTTGCCAATTGTGCCCACATATCTATTCAGGGGACACCATCACAGGGCCTAATAACATCAGCCACACTATCAGAGGCTCGTTCACCTGCACATCCACCAATGTGATATATGCCATCATGTGCCAGCAATGCCCCTCTGCCATGTACATTGGTCAAACTGGACAGTCTCTACGTAAAAGAATAAATGGACACAAATCAGATGTCAAGAATTATAACATTCATAAACCAGTCGGAGAACACTTCAATCTCTCTGGTCACGCAATCACAGACATGAAGGTCGCTATCTTAAAACAAAAAAACTTCAAATCCAGACTCCAGCGAGAAACTGCTGAATTGGAATTCATTTGCAAATTGGATACTATTAATTTAGGCTTAAATAGAGACTGGGAGTGGCTAAGTCATTATGCAAGGTAGCCTGTTTCCTCTTGTTTTTTCCTACCCCCCCCCCCCCCCAGATGTTCTGGTTTAACTTGGATTTAAACTTGGAGAGTGGTCACTTTAGATGAGCTATTACCAGCAGGAGAGTGAGTTTGTGTGTGTATGGGGGTGGGGGGGATGTGAGAAAACCTGGATTTGTGCAGGAAATAGCCCGACTTGATTATGTAAAGAGTTGTCACTTTGGATGGGCTAGCACCAGCAGGAGAGTGAATTTGTGTGGGGGGGTGGAGGGTGAGAAAACCTGGATTTGTGCTGGAAATGGCCCACCTGATGATCACTTTAGATAAGCTATTACCAGCAGGACAGTGGGGTGGGAGGAGGTATTGTTTCATATTCTCTGTGTATATATAAAGTCTGCTGCAGTTTCCACGGTATGCATCTGATGAAGTGAGCTGTAGCTCACGAAAGCTCATGCTCAAATAAATTGGTTAGTCTCTAAGGTGCCACACGTACTCCTTTTCTTTTTGCACATCCTAAATATTATCTTAACCTCTTGGACCATGTGACAGAGTGTGAGTCACCTAAGGCTGACTTATCACTCTGTGCACTTTGCAAGGGTCCCTACAAGGGCCAAACTGAGGAGATAATTGGTTAAGCACCAGGTAATTAACCAGTTAACAAGATGATTTAGCTCCTCAGCTGAGGACAGTTAAAAAAAAAAAAAGAGACAAGAAGAAGCAGGAAGAGAAGGCTTGAAAAGAAGGGCCAGAGAAGCTTGAGAAGTGAGATCTCTCTTCTCTCTGTGCCTGGGTACTAAATAAAGGTTTGGGGAACTGCTGCCTTATGCTGTGGGGGAACAAACACATGCAGAGCATGTTATAAATAAAGCACATAGTGTTGAGCTAGCTATCAGTGTGTGTGAGGACAGTTTTCAGAGGAACAGCCGTGTTAGTCTGTATTCGCAAAAAGAAAAGGAGTACTTGTGGCACCTTAGAGACTAACCAATTTATTTGAGCATGAGCTTTCGTGAGCTACAGCTCACTTCATCAGATGTTTACCGTGGAAACTGCAGCAGACTTTATATACACACAGAGAATATGAAACAATACCTCCTCCCACCCCACTGTCCTGCTGGTAATAGCTTATCTAAAGTGATCAACAGGACAGTTTGCACCAAGAAATCCAGGGGGGAGAGTCCTGTCCTGTGACACACCACAGCCCTGCACATCTTATTTGTGGCTTCAAAGGGATTACTCATCTGAATACGAGCTACTCATCAGTGTCTGCAGAATCAGACTCTTAGTTTGGAGGGAATGGAAGTTTTCGTTTTAGGATACGCAATATAAGGGCAGAATATGTGATGTCTACAAGTTTGCCTCTGGGATTTCTCATCTCTTTCTGATTTTAGAAGTACCAAGGAATTAGTTCTTTTTTAAAAGATTTTTTGGTCATGTTTTAGTATTGAAATGTTAGAGTTTTAAAAGTGTTGTGTTTTTCTTGAAGATCTTAGAACATTGCAGCTAGTAAGTGATATATAATGTTGTTAGGAACAACAATACTACATTGTTGCATTGGGCTCAACTTTTTTACCAATGCAAGTTCTGATTACAGAGAGCTAGCTTTGGGGAAATCCCACACAAGGGACTGGAATCTCTGCCAGTTTCAACACAGAGTGTTTCTTGGCAGACGGGCAGATTTTAACCCATCCATGAACAAGTAGGGAATATCAGCCCCCAAAATTTATAGATTACCCAAATCTGTGGATTTAAGGACAACCACACAGGCCAACCCAAGGCAATATGCTGTTTCCTGACTGCATTGCCCCTGTGAAAGCCATGTTGCCAGTGTTTCCCTGTTGGCCATAACTGCCTAAACCCCACTCATGAGATGTTCATTCATTGGAGGGGAAACAACATAAAATAATGCTGACTGGGTAGGAATTTGATAGAATAGAGAAAAATCACAGAATAACTGCAAATCAATTGTGAACCAAAAATGTTTATTAATTAACATTATGAAAACACGAGATCTGTTGGAAATTTTGAAGCCACTGAACTTAGATGACAGGTTTCAGAGTAGCAGCCGTGTTAGTCTGTATCCGTAAAAAGAAAAGGAGGACTTGTGGCACCTTAGAGACTAACAAATTTATTTGAGCATAAGCTTTCGTGAGCTACAGCTCATTTCATGGGATGCATGCAGTGGAAAATACAGTGGGGAGATTTATATACACAGAGAACATGAAACAATGGGTGTTACCATACACTGTAACAACAGTGATCAGGTAAGGTGAGCTCTCCTGCTGGTAATAGCTCACCTTACCTGATCACTGTTGTTACAGTGTGTATGGTAACACCCATTGTTTCATGTTCTCTGTGTATATAAATCTCCCCACTGTATTTTCCACTGCATGCATCCGATGAAGTGAGCTGTAGCTCACAAAAGCTTATGCTCAAATAAATTTGTTAGTCTTTAAGGTGCCACAAGTACTCCTTTTCTTTTTTTGAACTTAGATGAGAAAACCACAAAAGAACCAGAGCAAATGAAGCAGCCTGCATATTCAGCCTAGCATAAGTTCTAAAACAATTCAGTAAAATGGCATTTTGTAAACTGCTAAAACCTAAGTCATACCTGAGTAGGCATGGTGTTCTTTAGAGTGACAGTAACATTTGCCTTCAAGTCGCTAAGTGTGAGGTTAGCTACACTTGATGATATGACATTGCTGATTAGAGAGAGATTCTCGAGTGAAGAATCCTGAAACAACAAAAAGGTAACTAAGAGTAGAAAAAAATTAAATACAATAGAGCGCATGCGTGCACACACAATTTCAGTTATTACAGTGATTAGAGCTGGGCAAAAATGATTGAAATGTTAAAATCTTCTGATGAGAAAAGGAATGATTTTTTGTGAAAATTTATGCTCATTTGCCCCTCTCACCCCCCATTTTTCGATCAGTTCTAACATGGAGTTAAAGAATATTGTGAAGGATCCCTCATGTACAGGGTCCCAAAAAGTTACCTGAAATGGAGTTGTCTTTTCGAAAAAGTTGAATATAATTCTAGAAGCCAGAGGCATATCTTCAGAAGACAAGTTTGTTAGCAATGAGGAAGGCAGTGCAATAGCTCCAACGCTATTTATAGGTGCTTGGGTGCCTAGAGCAATCTGAAAATTAAACATAAAAAGGAACAACAATTTTTGTTGCTAACAGAAGATTAGATTGTGCCTTAGGCTCAATCCTGAGTATAGGAACAGCCTATTATATAGCTGTGCCACCCCAGGAGCACCATTGGGAAGGAACCATGACTCAGAATCATACTATTTCCCCTCAGTGGCAGAGCTAGGTTTTGCAACTTGGAGGTGGGGGCTGATGGACCATTTGTCGTGGGCTGGAGAGCAAGCCTACCCATGCACCCCCAGCAGCGGCGGTTCCTGTCCCACCGGGCTTAGCTCAACTCCCCGTTCTGGATATTGAGCCTTAATGCATGGGGTCGCAGGGCCATTCAGATTTGGCCCAGCCACCCACCTGTTGTGATGTAGGGATGGTCAAGCCAAATCAGAGTGAATGGCATTGTAACATGGTACGTGGGACATGTTGCAATGCCCAGAGCAGGGAGCTGGGCCCAGCCCTGCAGACCAGGAGCTGCTGCTGCCGGGTGCTTGTGGGACAGGCTCACTCTCCAGCCCAATGTGAAAATTCTTGTCACACACCTTACCTCCCTATTAGCTGCATCCCCTGCTCTTCTTTAGCTCCAGGAGAGAAATAATTTACCTCAGCTCTGTAAAGGGTATAGCATACTTCAGCTCTTGCACCCAGCTATGGCTCCATCCATTTGCTCATCAGGACAGAGCATCGGTAGTGCTTTGCAAAGGAGCCAGAGCCATAATCTGGGTAGCTGTAATGTAGGAACTGTGCAGGTGGTGGGCATTTTACAGCTGCATTGGGGCAAAATGCCAGCGTCCTGCTCAACCTTCTGCGGATTCTTGTTGCTAAGGCGCTGCGCTCCAGTTCGAGTGGTGGCCGCTCCCCCCCAAAGAGGCTAAGGCGCATGCGTGTCTGAGAGTGGTGAGAGCGTGAAGCACATGGGACAGGTTTATGAAGAGAATGACTACAGGAAGGTTCAATTTATTGAACGACAGAACGAGGTGAATGAGACCTTTGCTATTGACTTAATAGCAGAGCAGCCTGTGAATAAAGTTGAAAGCCGAGTGATATCATGTGATGGTGGTGGTGGAGCTCTGGGACATCCTAAAGTGTACATAAATTTCGACAAAGATATAAAAACTGGAACATGTGGTTACTGTGGACTTCAGTTTAAACAGAAACATCACCACTGAAAGATCATCCCTCCATGCCCTGCAGAATTCTGTCAGGATTTCAGTTAAATCATAAAATATTAACAATAAATGAAATTTAACAAAACAAACAAACAAAAAAACAATCTAGCTCTTAAGGAGCCATTCCAGGGACTGAGAGAAGAGGGGAAAACAATGTATGCTTTTATAAGAAACACTGAGATGGTAAAGAGGAGGAAGTTGGGAAACAGACATATAGTTCTACATATATTTTAGCTTATCCAAAGTTGGTATTTTGTAGCACAGAAATTTACAGCAGTATTTAACTACTTAAATTCCATACTTCGGGAAGAAGGTGGCAGTGATGACAATGTTATTAAAGGTTTACTGCAAAATTGATTTTTACTGCAAAATTGATTTTTTTAAAAGAAATCCCCAACCCTTTTTGTATGAATCCAAAAGAGCTGTACATAGCCACTGTTTGTAACTGAAGTTTAATACTGCATCTTAAACAAAATTTGAGACAATTATCCCAACTTTATCATCATTTGCTGCCCGACATCTGACACCATAACTAGGAGATGAGATCAAGCCCTAAAGTTAAAGGTCTGCAGATCAGAATTTTGATTTGGCCTATTATAAAACTAAGGACATTTTGTAAAATTTGGGTTTAAATTTAGGATCATAATTTGAACACCTTCAAAATTTGGGTGTCTTCAGAGCTAGGTGTGGGCCCATCTTTAATTATGACTATACAAAGCAAAGGTCTGAAACAATTATTTATTTTTAAATTGCTTATTTTCATTCCCTTGTGTATAGTACTGGTGATGTCATTCATTCTAGCCGGTAAACCAAATAACCTGTAGTTCAGTTTTCTCAAGACCTTAAAGATGTAATGTCATACAAACATGATGGTAACTTTTAGCTAAACTTTTGGGGTACACCTTTAAGATTAAATGTGTTTTAGCTTTCTGAGGTAACTAGTGTTGCTAAGATACTGTAGTTGTACAACTTAAATAGTTTAGAGCTCATGAAAGGTGTCAGAGACTCTCAGAACTCAAGACAGAAGTCATATGTATAATCCAAAGAACAGTCACAGCCGAGAAACAGCTGTGCAAGCTTCCCAACAATGCCCTAACAATGTGCATCAATCCTGCCCATGAGGTCAGGAACGGGTCACTTCTAAGCGTGCAAGAGTAATTCAAACTCCAGAACCCAGTGTCTGACCTCTCAGGCTGCTAGCACTGAGACCCCAATTAAGTTTACAAATGCATTTCCATCACTCTAATCCAGGCTAGATACAAATTTGTTGAAAAGCTCTGCATATCTCATTACCAGTCCCTAAACCTTCCAGTACATCATGAGATTTACTTAGCAAATTACTCCGGAGGGAATTCTGCGCCAAAAAATTAAGAATTCTTCAGACAATATTCTAAAATTCTTCATATTTTATTGTCAATAAATAGATATGGAGGCTCCAGCATGGCAGTGGGGAGCACAGGCCACTGGCTGTATGGAAGTGGGAAATCACCCTGCACTGCTTCCTCACCCCTCTGGACACGGACTGGGCGGTGAGGCTGCACCAGACCCTGACACAGTGCAAGGGACGGGCCTGGCCCAGAAACACCCTGTGGCCCTGCCCCTCCATGCCAGGCGCACCAAGATAGCAAGCGAGAAGGGCAAAGTCTCGCACAACCAACCTTGGCCCCCAATCCAGGTGTGGGGCAGGCAGGCTCAGCCTGGAAGAATCTAAGTGTGGAGGGGCTTAATGTGGGGTGAGAGGGTTCTATGTGGGGCAATCTGAGTGCAGATGGCTCGGTGGGCGGTCTGTGTGCGGGGTGGATCTGGATGCACAGGGGCTTATTAAGGGGTTCCAGATACAGGGGGAATGGGACTCTGCACGGGGGGATCCAAGTGAAAGTTGTTGGGATTCAACAAGGAGTGGGGTTTGGTGGGGGAGTCGGGCTTGGTGGGGTGGGGGTCTGGGTGCAGCTGGTTGGGGCTCGGTGGATTGGGAATCTGGATATGGAGGGCTTGTCAGGGTGGTCTATGTGCAGGGGGATGGGTCCCATCAGGCTGGGAATTTGAGTACAGGGGACTCAGCTGGGGTGGTCTGAGTGCAGGGGCGGGAGTCCACAAGTGGGGTCTGGGTGCAGAGGGGCTCTGGATGCACAGGGGTTGGGCAGACGGGGGAGCAGCTCCCTGTACAGTGACCCCTCCCTCCGTGGCTGAGGAGCATTAGGCCAGGAAGCGGGAGGGGTACAGAGCTTCCTGCAGCTGAGGGTGGGTCTGACCCAGCCCTCGCTGCTCCTTGCAGGGGAAGAGGAAGTCCCGTCCTCCCCAACCCAGCGTGGACTAGCAGCTGAGCCAAGCGAAGGGTAGAAGCTACTGGCTGGGGCATCCCAGTTCTGCTCCCCTTTGTGGTGATTTACCTCTCCACCAGCCGCTTCAGGCACCCGAAATGATGCACCTGCACTGCTGTGGAGGGGCTCATGACTGGTCATGCAGCTTTCCTTTGCTTCCCCATCATTTTCTGTGGGGAAGCAAAGAAATGTGTGTGTGTGGGGGGGAGGATTGGGTGGGACGACGACATGAATTCTGTGTGTCCACAGTGGCACAGAATTCTCCCAGGAGTAGCAAATGTCAAGCTTCCACTACTACCTCCTTCCTAGTCTCACCACATACTTATACTTTACACATTCTAAGGAAAACAAAGCAGAACTTAGATCTTGTGATTATTTTACATTATTTATAATATTCTAGAGGGATACAAGTACCACTTATTGTTCAAATCAGACTTGCCTGGGAAGACAAACAGTACTCTAATATTTGTTGAGAAATTTCCATCTCTCACAGACAAAGTCTTAAAGGTTTGTAGTGTGCCCTTTAGAATTATCCCAAAATCGGATGGTGGATAGGCTTTTAAGTGAGAAAGTGGTGTTAAACCTTTTCAAGCACTTTTCTCTTGGCAAGGCAAACTGGCAAATATATATGAAATTCATCAATTAAGCAACTTAATAGTTCTTTTCCAGGCAGCCAAAGTAATTCTAATACCACTTCTGACAGGTGAGGCCATCTGGCAAAACTCCTTGAAATTCTTCAGTGCTCTGGGGGTGGGTGATTAAACTATTCATGATTTTAGGCTGCAGGAGGAGGGGGATGTTTTGCCAAATCCTTCTGGTGTTTTGGCTGTTCCCTTATTAACAGCTTGTTAGTGAAATATTGTTAGCTTCTGCTAGGACAGTGGCTTCTTATCGATACAGAAATTTTCTCCTGTAAGTCTTAGTGGAAGAAAATAGTTAATAAAGATCCCCTGATTACAGCAGACATAACTAACAAATATCATACGGCAGATCATAGAATCATAGAATATTAGGGTTGGAAGGGACCTCAGGAGGTCATCTAGTCCAACCCCCTGCTCAAACAGGACCAATCCCCAACTAAATCATCCCAGCCAGGGCTTTGTCAAGCCTGACCTTAAAAACTTCTAAGGAAGGAGATTCCGCCACCTCCCTAGGTAACGCATTCCAGTGTTTCACCACCCTCCTAGTGAAAAAGTTTTTCCTAATATCCAACCTAAACCTCCCCCACTGCAACTTGAGACCATTACTCCTTGTTCTGTCATCAGCTACCACTGAGAACAGTCTAGATGGATCCTCTTTGGAACCCCCTTTCAGGTAGTTGAAAGCAGCTATCAAATCCCCACTCATTCTTCTCTTCTGCAGACTAAACAATCCCAGTTCCCTCAGCCTCTCCTCATAAAGTCATGTGTTCCAGTCCCCTAATCATTTTTTTTGCCCTCTGCTGGACTCTCTCCAATTTTTCCACATCCTCCTTGTAGTGTGGGGCCCAAAACTGGACACAGTACTCCAGATGAGGCCTCACCAATGTCGAATGGAGGGGAACGATTATGTCCCTCCATCTGCTGGCAATGCCCCTACTTATACATCCCAAAATGCCAGTGGCCTTCTTGGCAACAAGGGCACACTGTTGACTCATATCCAGCTTCTCGTCCACTGTAACCCCTAGGTCCTTTTCTGCAGAACTGCTGCCGAGCCATTCGGTCCCTAGTCTGTAGCGGTGCATGGGATTCTTCCGTCCTAAGTGCAGGACTCTACGCTTGTCCTTGTTGAGCCTCATCAGATTTCTTTTGGCCCAATCCTCTAATTTTGTCTAGGGCCCTCTGTAACCTCTCCCTACCCTCCTGCGTATCTACCTCTCCTCCCAGTTTAGTGTTAGAGATCTGGATTTCAGATTCTCTTGATTAAATCTCTCTCTCTATTTTTTAATATAACAAATGCAAAACAAATTAAAGTTTTAATATAACTTTATCCACAAAGAGTTTGAATTTAAATTTTTAAGGATTAAAATCATAGGTGGCTTTACCTGAAGATCTGATGAATCTTGGACAGCGAATGACATTTTGCTGAAGTTGCTGCTGTTGACTTTGGTGACTGCTAGAGCCAAGGCCGGGGAAGTAAAATTAATGGATTCTGTTGAAAAGTTCAGTTTTAAGCCAATGGCATCCACTATTTTTATTATTCTGTTAAGACAAAATATGCTTAGTATTACAATGCACCTATCTCTTCATTTTCAAGCAGGTTGTGAAACAGCAAGCCAAGCATATTCTGAAAACAATCGGAGCTTTTCTCTGATCTCTTTTATGCCAGTGTAAATAAGAAGGAATTCCAGTGATGACCATGGATTTATATCAGTGTAAAACCAGTGGAATCAGAATCATGCCTCTGATATCAAAGTTCAGTTTGGGGGAGGAAAAAAGGTGTAGGCTGATAGTTTGCCCATCATTTAAGGAGCTACCTATAATGTGTTACTTTACCAAGATGACAAACACAACATTCAGTTCATCTGTTTACAAAAATGCATACCTTTTAGACATTGGGGATAGTAATGAATATGGAGCATTTAGGAGACTGCTAATTGTGTTGATCATCTCTCTTGCAACTTTTGGCTCTATTTTCTGGGCTGACAGAGCACTTTCCATGTGGGATATTATGCTCTCAACTTCAGAGGGATTAATCGTGGTATGTGTAATATTTGACAGATTATCCAAAATGTTTCCTATGACAGAAGAAAAATAGTGTACGTTAATTGAAAACCGTCAAAATATTGTGTATGCCAAAGGGAATAAACTGGAGGAGAAAAAATGAGCCATTATGTGATGGCTACCATCTAGGCCAGTGGTCACCAACCCGTTGATTGTGATCGACTGGTCAATCCTAGGAGACTCTCCCAGTCGATCGTGATCTCTGGCCACCGTGGCACAGTGGGGCTGCCTGCCGCTAAGTCAGGCTCCTTGCCTGCTGTGGCCCCACACCACTCCTGGAAGCGGCCAGCATGCTCCAGCAGCCCCGCAGGGTGGAGGGGCAGGGGTCTCTGTGCTCTGCTTCTGCCTGGAAGCACCACCTCCGCAGCTCCCATTGGCCAGGAATGGGGAGCTGTGGCCAATGGGAGCTGCAGGGGCAAATCCTGCAGAGAGGGGCAGTGTGTGGAGTCACGTGCCCCCTCCAGGGGGTGCAGGGTCACATGGCCCCTACCAGGAGCAGCATGGCCATTTGGTGCACTACTGGCTTGGCGGGGGGGGAGGAGGTGCCGATGTGCCTGGGTGGGGTTGGGGCAGGCAGGGAGCCTGCCTTAGCCACGCTGCACCACCAACCGGGAGCCACCCAAGGTAAGTGCTGCCTGGTGGGAGCCCGCGCCCCAACCCCCAGCCCTGAGCCCCCTCCCCGAGCCAGCACCTCATACCCCTTCCTGGACCCCGAACCTCCTCCTGCACCCCAAGCCCCTGCCCTAGCCCTGAGCCCCCTCCCAGAGCCAGCACCGCACCCCAACTCCCTGCCCCAGCCTGGAGCCCCCTCCTGCACCTAAAGTCCCTCCCAGAGCTTGCACTCCTCCTGAACCCCAAACCCCTGCCCCAGCCCAGTGAAAGTAAGTGAGGTTTGGGAGAGTGAGCAACAGAGAGAGGGAGGGATGGAGTGAGTGGGGTGGGGTTTCAGAGAAGGGGCAGGGCCTCAGGAAAGGGGCGGGGTAGATTCTGGGTTGCCCTTAAATTCAGAAAGTAATCTTTGGTGTAAAAAGGTTGGAGACGACTGATCTAGGCTGATATACCATGGATTGAACCCCTGGGCCTCCAGAATTAAAAGCATAAATTACTAAGGATTGAATTAAAGAGACTAGACTCCAGAGCTAAGGCTGTAACAGATTCCTATTCTCTGCAGACTGGCACAGAGGCAGACTTATAACACACACTTACTGGTGAGTTACTGTGAAGGGGTGGACTACGTCTGGAGGCCCCCTGCTGGAGACCGCGTAGCCCTGCCTCACCTAGCCCCAGAAAAGAGCAGAAGAGAAGTCCTCTAGACAGTGGCTGCAGGGGAAGCAGCCAATCAGAGGGGCTGCTGGTGTGGCCAGTCAGAGCCCTGGAGGGCCATATAAAAAGAAGCAGCAGAAACAGAGCAGTCAATTGCTGCCTGGAGTGGGAAGAGAGCTGACCATTTTCCTAGCTGGCTGAAAGAGTAGCAGGACCATGGACAGCTCAGTGTGGCAGGGAATGGGGGAGATAGAAAGAAGCTCCTGGCTGGCTGTGGGGACCAAGGCCTGGTCTACACTGGGGGTAGGGAGTAATCAATCTAAGTTACGCAACTTCAGCTATGTGAATAACATAGCTGAAGTTGACGTACTTAGATCTACTCACTGCGGTGTCTTCACTGCGGTGAGTTGACTGCTGCCGCTCTGCTGTCAACTCTGCCTGCGCCTCTCGCGGTACTGGAGTACAGGAGTCGACGGGAGAGTGCTCGGGGGTCAATTTATCGCATCTAAAAGTAGACACGATAAATCGACCCCACTGGATCGATTGCTGCCCGCCGATGCAGCGGGTAGTACAGACATACCCTAAGCAAGAACTGAGACCAGGGAGGGCTCCAGAAAGACAATGTCTCTGGGGAGGAAGCCCCAGGCATATGCCCTATACCAGGGCTGGGACAATTTAAAGACTGTATATCCTGAAAGGGGTTTGTTCTATTCCACCTACAGATAGCGTGTGTGACTCAGCCAGAGGGCTGAGTCACTGAAGACCTGTCGAAGATACTAGAGAGATGAGGTGGATGAGGTAATATTGTTTACTGGATAACTTCTCTTGGACAAAGAGACAAGCTTCCAAGCTTACATAGAGCTCTTCTTCAGATCAGAAGGGCAGTTCTGTGTAAGATCAAAAGCTTGTATCTTTCTCCAACAGAAGTTGGTCCAATTAAAGATATTGCCTCACCCAGCTTGTTATCACACAGCAAGCCTAGCCCAGAAGGTGGACATTCATCACTAATTAAATCACTGTGGAATTATAATATTCACATATATAAAGAAGATGAAAATTCAGCACCGGTGTAAATAGACCCAGTTTTGTTTAAACTAGTCTCTAATTTTCAGCCTGCTAATTCTAATTTTATATCCTTAAATTGAGAGCTATTGTTAGAAAATATGCATTAACTGGTAAAATATTTACAGTTATGGTATAATCTTGGCTGCCCTACACATAAGGAGGACTGGCTGGAGAGAAGGAAGGCAGGAAGCACTCTGCCTAGTCTGAAGGGCTGACAAACCTCAGAGTCATGGGAGCAGTGAGACTAGTCAAGGGGAGGATGCATCTCAGGACTTGCTATTTTGAAAAGATCTGTAACTCTCTTGTGCTTGTTAAGAGTAAAGTGACAGCTGTGCAGCAGAGATGTGTTCTCACCCTTGCAGCCTTCTTCTGAGCTATTGACTGAATACTAGGATTTCCCACTCCAAACATCAGAATCAAGGTTGGTCAAGCCACATTCATTGACCAAGAGTATACCTATGATGCTGCCCTATTTATGGGGAAGCCAGAGAATTTCCACCCTGCTCTTCAAAATTTCTGAGATGCTGCCCACACCATGGAGTTGAATGTCTCATGGCAGAAGACCAATGTCCAGAACCTTGGAGCTGGACCACCAGAATCCTCAATAAAGGTGGGGTCAAGCACCATGGACAGCGCCTATAAGTTCATCTACCTAGGCCACGAGCAGAGTTCAAACCATCAGAGCAAACCAGATGTCCTCTGACAAATAGGACTCATCATCTCCTACATGAAGTCCGTGCCTTGCCTATAGATGCAAAAACATCTCTGTGCTGAGACAAAGTTCAGGATCTATCAAACTTGTGTACTGCCATACTGCTATATTGATCAGAAACTTGGACTCTCTTACAGGCAGAGTTGGAGCAGCTTGAGGCATTCCATATGCACTGTCATCACCAAATCCTGAGCATAAAGTGATTTGACTTGTGCAAAATGCCATAATCTTGCAGAGATCTGCCCTTCCACCAGTCACTCACTGCATTCAAAATCACCATTGCATGCTCCTCTGCCATCTCGCCGGGATGGACAAAAATATCCCAGCACACCGTGCTCTCAAACTCTCCATCGACACGCAAAGGGGTGTATGCCTGGACCCTACCTGATGTTGCCTGAGGGGCCACCCCAGAGATTCATTGATTCACAGGACTGAGTCAGATCTGGGAACTTCTTGCTACAATATCTGGTATGATACCATCAGCCATGGTCACTCTGGCTGGCACAGTGGTCCTCAGTAGACCAGGCACATTTGATGATGATATATCTGGCCTTTAATGACATTCTAATTAACTATTTTCTGGAAGTTTTATCTTTGACTTCAGTGGGAGTAGGATAAGATCTAGAGTAGGGATTTCAGAGACAACATACACAAATGTAAATATCTAAAATCTCAGAGGATATTCCCACCCAGTTACAACTTTTTAAGGAGGATCTAGTATTGATGGATAATTCTGCTTTGTTTCCACAAAGCTCTTTTTTATGACAGCAACTGTGAATTCTTTGCCATGAATCCGAATCTCTTTCTTTTAAAGGAAAGAAAGAAATATATGAAAGCACTTGGTAATTTATCTGAAGAATACATTTATTTTCAATCCTGCGACTATATTCTTTTTCCCCCTCCCATCCGTCTTCTGTTTTTTTGCTATGTTTTTTTCACTGAAGCATAAAAGCCTCTAAAATCATGAAGACTTATTTTAAATTCAAACTTATTTCAAGACTTTTCTGACCAGTTCTGTCACTCTCTTATTTGTTTATTGCATTTTGCCTATCCAGTGTGTGGTGCTAGAAACAGGTCACATAGAGCCTTAACTCCTATTGTTATCAATGAGTCTACTCATTGATAACAATAGAGTAAGGCACTAGGCAACATGAGTAAGGGTGGTAGAACCTGTCCCAAAGAGAGTACTGTACTCTATTAGGTTTGCTTAAGACTCTTAACAGCACAAGGCTCTTTCAGAACTATGTTACTTAAATCAGTTTTGAAACTTTATTAAACAGGTAAGATCTTAGTTTTGTGAGGGGAAAAACTCCCTCAGACAAAAGATGCAATCTATCAGCTTGTCATATTTACCTGTTGTACCGTTGGCCCCGGTAGCTTGGCTATCAGTGGTCGAATGAATACCAGGAGGAGACTGGACAGTAGGTTCAGTGGAAGGAGCAGGAGCCACAGTTATAGGTTTGGTTGAAGAAATGGCAGAAGGAACTACAGTAGCAGGTTTGGTTGGAGACGTAGGAAGAGAAATTGTGGTAGATTTGGTGAGAGATGTGGTGAAATGCATAGTAGGGGGAATTGTAATGGTACTTGTAGGAGAAGATGTAGCAGGAGGAATTGTAGTGGTGTGTGCAGGAGAAGGAGTAGCAGGGGGAATTGCGGTAGGTGTGGTGGAATGCGTAGCAATAAGTTTGGTCAAAAGGTGATTTGTAGTACTAGGTTTGGTTGAAAGATGAGGAGAAAAAACAGTGGTATGTTTGGGGGGATGAATATCATGACGGTGAATGTCAATAGAAATTTTACTGGAAGCAGCAGCAGGAGAAGCTGGAGGGCCAAGTTTGCTAGGGGCAGCACATACAACTCTGTCTTGTCCATCACTGTAGAAAAATAAAAGAATGGTATGAAAGTTGTGGCAATCTTAGCATTGTTTATATATTAAAGAACACAATTTAATAAGGCTTCAGTAAAGGAAACTTTTAAATGACATCATTACAATAGTGCATCAGATCAGATGTGTGTGGTACTCTGGCAACAAACATTGTTAATTTGTCACACTTTGAGGATACAAATTCTGAATTCTATTTTGTTAAATGCTCACCAGTAATGTAGGTATTGTAATAGCAATACTACACTGGGTGCCTACTTTGTGGATGATATCTGGACTTTGGACCTTATAGCATGTGGGAAAACCCACATGAGAGAGCTAAAAGGAGAGGAAAATTTCAATGGGTTTTACTTATGGAGATTCCCTTCCCAATTGTTATGTTGTGGCTGGGATATTTGCTAATGCATCCCAGACTAAAAATCAGAATATTCCTTAAATAGGAAAACAAGCCTTTGCTATTTATACTTACCATTGCAATATTTGTAACTCTTCAGCAGCTGATGGCCAAGATTGCAGAGCTGAACAGAAGCACTGTTCTATGGTGACAAAGACACAAAAAAGCATTATCCTGATTTGTCCAGTAGCACTCATAACCATTATATACAATTGTTGAAAATCATAATTTTGACCGTTTAAATTCCATAAAACATTTTGAGATAGTCTGTGTCAAGCTTTTTTTCACATTCATAATCATGTAATAAATCAATATAAATATTAGTACACCATCATAGCTCTTTTGGAGGGTTGGAAGGGACCTCAGGAGGTCATCTAGTCCAAAGCAGGACCAATCCCCAACTAAATCATCCCAGCCAGGGCTTTGTCAAGCCTGACCTTAAAACTTCTAAGGAAGGAGATTCCACCACCTCCCTAGGTAACGCATTCCAGTGTTTCACCACCCTCCTAGTGAAAAAGTTTTTCCTAATATCCAACCTAAACCTCCCCCACTGCAACTTGACACATCTTTGCGGAGTGGCACAAGCTGTTACAGACAGTGGAGATGGCTCTTTTGGCATGTGCAAACAAATGGAGTGTAGAATGAACAACTTCATGACTTGTGATTTTAAAAAAAGATAGAATGACCCACTACCATAAAAATACCTGTACCTTATCAAGTAGTGTGGCAACCTGTCGCTCATTAATTTGTTGTATAAACTTAATCAGCAGTTTTTCTAACAGAAAATCTCCCCAATAAATACAAACACTAAATACATTTCCATATCTAAATATCCAAAATATGAAACATGGCAGAGAGATACTTCACATTTACTGTACCTGCAACTAACTGTAATAAACTCTTATTTTATTTTTAAAATATATTTTCTGTTAAAACATTTACATGGCCATCTTTAAAATTATTATCCTTAGACTGAAGGGGGACACTGTAATAAAAATATATTAAATATTAAATACAACTTACCAATTTGGTGTATTTCTGCTCTGTCTTTTAAATGTGCTATTAAACTACTTATATTAACAGTCTTGGCCAGCTTTATTATAAACTTGCAGACTGATACACTGCAATGAGAAGAAAATGAATTGTAAACAAGAAACAGATTTAACTTTGGATGCTGTATACAAAAATACTGCCAATATCTGAATTCAAGTACCATTTTCCCAACCTATTTTCAAATCTGAGGAATATTATTATGCTAACAACCTACCCTTTTCAATTTAAAAATAGAGAGACAGAAAGTATCACTTTGTACTGGTTTACTCTCTCCTTGTTCCACAGACGCCAACTAAGTCTTAAGGCCAGATTCTCCACGGCAATCAGTTAAGACAGACAAGTAGATGAATGAAGACACAACATAGTGACTGAGTTTAAGTGACAAGATGAAACTTCTGTTTAGCCAAAGGAATACTGATGAGATCAGTACCCCCAAATCTTACCACTCAAAATGAGGGGCCAGTGTAAGAGGTTGTGGCTTTACATCATAACCCCAAACAAGAAATCAGTCAGCCTCTGCCTGACCTCTATGTCATTTGTGGGACCCAACCAGTTGCCCCCCTCATACAATTGAAGGTAGAGACTAGAAATTCTTTTGTCTGCACTAGATTTAAGAGACTTCCCTTCCAAAATCAGATATCCCCCAGGAGCATGCCAGTCAGCAACTACCCTACCTCGCACTGAGCAACATTGGAAACAATTCAAATGTCCTTCCTACCAATCCACGCCTCCCAGTAGATATGAAAAAGTCAAAATATTCTCAGGACATCAACCAGTTCTGCCTGGAGGGAAAACTCCTTCCAGATCCCACAGAGGAGCATTCTGGCTAGGCCCACAGTACAGTGTTTCCCAAACTTGGAACACCACTTGTTCAGGGAAAGCCCCTGGCGGGCTGGGCTGGTTTGTTTACCTGCCGCATCCGCAGGTTCAGCTGATCACGGCTCCCACTGGCTGCAGTTCACCGCGGCAGGCCAACGGGGGCTGCTCGAAACGGTGGCCAGTACGTCCCTCAGCCCGCACCGTTTGCTGCAGCCCCCATTAGCCTGCAGTGGCGAACTGCGGCCAGTGGGAGCCGCGATCAGTCGAACCTGCGGACGCGGCAGGTAAACAAACCGCCTGGCCCACCAGGGGCTTTCCCTGAACAAGCGGCATCCCAAGTTTGGGAAATACTGCCACAGTACATAAGACAAAATTATGCCACCTTCAAGATATGGTTGCCAACCCTCCAGGATTGTTCTGGAGTCTCCAGAAATTAAAGATTAATCTTTAATTAAAGATTGTCATCTGATGAAACCTCCAGGTATACATCCAACCAAAGTTGGCAACCCTACTTCAAGACCAATAACTCACAGAGAGGGAGACTGGAAAGTCATTAAGTGCCAGCAAAGATGGTGCCCATGCCCAGGGAAAAAGGATTATAACCCAGGGCTGGGGATATGTGTGGGTGACCAAAAACGATCAGCTATCCCCCTACAAACTAGCAAATTGGGCATCAGGGGGGTGGGACAAATGTCCTGTTCTATCCTGAGTGCCACCCCTTTGGTCTTCCTCCCTGCTAGTCTGGGCATTTTATGTTGCATGAGCAAAGCTGCGGCAGGAGCGGGGCGGGAGTGGGGGAGGAAGCTGTCAAGGAGTTAGTTACAGTTCCTTGATCCTCTGCTCTGTTACACACCATGTTGAAAATTAGCCTATCCTGGCAGCTATCCTAACCTGCACTAACTGGTAATGGTCCCTAAAGATGTACTCTGGCCAATCTTCCTCCCTTCTCTGACACTTTGGGACAAATCCACGGTGAGTTCAATGGGACTAGGATTTGATCCAGGGTCTCTCTGTCTGTCCCCGAGTCTGTATATATGGGGCCTCAATCCTGTTTCCATTTACTTCAATTGAGGCAGGATCAGCCCCACACCTGAGCCAAACTAGCTAGGAAGGCAGTTCTACTACATATCCATTTTTTGTACACAATACAGTGCAGGATCTTAGGGGGTAAAATTATTATTTAAAATTTTAACATGGCAGACCTTTGGTTTTCTGCAGCACACTCCATAACAGAAGACTGGAAGGAAAAATAAAATTAAACTTAATTATTCTTTCAGTAGAAAACATGTTTGATCATCAGATACTGAGAATATCAGAAATAAATAGGAAGTTCACTTTTCCAAATGGCTATAATAACAAATAGGCACACAAATAAAAGTGCTTACCTCACTTTGTTCTTGCAATGTTTTGTTGAATTCTGAAATTCTTTAAAAGCAAAGGTTAACTATAAATGGTGGATTCTACTTATGTTTATAAAGAAGATATTAACAGAAGTTAAAATGGTAGGAACTAAAAGAATGTTAAGATATATAATATTTCTTGAAATGTTCTTTGAAATTTACTTGGCAATGATTTCCTAACATGCTAACTCAAAATCATATTTTAAAATTGTATAATTACTTTAATGGTGCAAATTTCTAATATTGTAGTAAACAGTATTTGTAAATAAAAGAATTGGTTGGCATTTTGGATGAAGCCCTATAATTCCTGTTTGCTACTTGACAATGTCAGAGGAATTTAAGTTTAATCCTCTGTCATCACACCCACATAAACTTATTTTATTATCGTCAATTCACTTATTTTAAAGTAATTTAATATTGAGCAATAGACAATTTCTGACTCATGTTCTGCTAACGAGCAAGTATGTGGAACACAGTCAGAACTTGTAATTGAAGCAGGGCATGGGAACAGAAGAGTCCTGTAGGCTCCTTCTGTAAACAAGATCTGTCCTTCAACTATAGAATAAGCACCAACTTGCAAGGGAATTTTTCTGAATTCCAATCTCTAGTTTACCACTTCAACCTTGCTCAAACCCATGCTATTCCAACTTTGAATTTGATGCAGTGAAACAGGAAGAGCCAGCAGAGAGAGTCAAAGAGGGAGGAATTTGAGTAATGGCCAGGAAAATGATCTTATCAGCTTTGTTTTGCCCAACCAAGGTTTTGGATGTTTGCAAAGAAAGCAAAGTACATATCTTCGGAATATTATGAAAGAAGAAGTGGCACCAGAGTCCAAAACAGAACAAGGTGAATGTGACAAATTCATGTAGGCAATCACAAGCACAATAATATTTCATTTTCTAAGCAGAATGAGACCAAAACTGGGTTTTCCTGATGAACACCCACATTTGAATTCACAGCTGATAACATACAAGTGATCAGATTTTTTCCCTTTAATCAGCCTGTCAGTACACATGGTGAATTTTATACAGCTTCAACACACTTTGTTATTTTCTTACTAAGGCCCTGATCCTGCAAAGGACTCCATGAAGATAGACCCCTGCATTTGCAGGACAAGAGTCTAAATAAGGAGCACCACTGAAGTTGCAGGATAAGAGTCTACATAAGGATAGCAAATAATACTATTTGTAAAATATCAAAACACCAATACATAAAACTAAAACTAAGAATAGTCTAAGCAATGTAAATTTTACTCATGCTGTGAGAAAATACTGAAATTCCGTATACATTCCTTAAACTATTATTCATTCTAGAATAAATACAGGAATAATGAGAAGTGAAAAACCTACTGATGACATAACAGTTCTCGCTTAATCTTAAATACAACCACTATTCAGCAGAATTTGAAGAGTCAACTTATGATGATAATTATAAGTTACTTACTTTGATTCTTGTAGATTAGGTGTGGTAAATGGAATTAATTTTGTAACTTTATGGCTGCTGGTTACATCATCAATCTGTTAGAAACACAGATTCAAATAATAATTAAAAATACAATTCTTATAGAATTTTTTTAAAATGTACATCTTACTCAACCCAACAGTCTGAAATTGCAAAGGTTTAAAAGCACTCATCATGAGCATACTGTAAAACATGATTTAACAGACATCTTAAGAGCTGTGACCCAGGAACCACTGGATGCCAGTTGGCAGAGACCACAGGGGGTATATAGGGTTTTTGAGGGATCCCCTGGGCCAGATATATGTAGGATAGTTCACCGAAGGGTGGCAGGTGAGGTGTCTACCGAAAACCAGTAACCCACGGGTATTCATAATCATTGTATCATAAGGGTAGCCATGTTAGTCTGTATCCACAAAAACAACAAGGAGTCTGGTGGCACCTTAAAGACTAACAGATTTATTTGGGCATAAGCTTTTGTGGGTAAAAAACCCACTTCTTCAGATGCATGGAGTGAAAATATTTAAGGAATATTTAAGAATATTTAAGGAATTATATAACTATATGGAAAACAATGTTCTTAAGGTCTTGGAGTTAAGGGAGGTCACCAGGTATGGGCAGCGGGTGAACCCGCCCTTTGGGGAGGCTAGCCCCATCCCTTCCACCCGAGGCCCCCTTTCCCCCCACCGAGTCCCTACTCTCCCCACAGCTGGAGTCCCAAGCATCCCACAGCCCAAGCTGTGCTAACTGGCACACTCCAGCTGCTCCGGCCTCCCAGCTGGCCCAACCCCTGCCAGCAGGCCCGAGACCTGAGCTACCCCAGGCCACCCTGGCTGGCCCAACCCCCACTGGCTGCCCCAGGCCACACTGGCGGGCCTGACTCCTGGACTGCCCAAGCCACCCCGGGCAGCCTGACCCTGGCCAGCCTGATCCAACCCCTGGGCCAGCCCAAGCCATGCCAGCTATGCCAGCCCGAGCTGCCCCAGCTGGCCCAACCCCCACCTGTGGGTCTGACCCCTGAGCTGCCTCAGACAAAGGCGGTTGGCGTAACCACCACCGGCGTCTCTGATACCTGAGCTGCCCAGGGCCGACTTGGCTGGTCCAACCCCTGCTGGCTGCCCTGGGCCACAATAGTGGGCCCGACACCCGACAGCTGGCCTGAGCTGCCCCTGGCTGCCCTAGCCACTGGCTGAGCCTGAGCTCCAGGCCGCGGCTGGAGCTGAGCCTCCACTGGCTTCAGGGGGGAGCATGGGCAGGGCCACAGCCTGGACCCACTGTGGATACCCACTGCCCCTCTCACCAGGAGGTGATATATCCCAGAAACTCTCTTTTCAGGCGGGAGGTAACAGACACCTATCGCTCTGTCTGGCCATTTTTCTGTTGTACACCTCCCAGTGTAGGTCTGTTTGCATACTGAGCCACAGGCAAAAGACAAGATTGTGAAATCTACAAGAGAGGAAATCTACAGGAATAAATAAACAACAGGGGGTCCTATTTATGAATAAAGATGAATGACAGCACTGGTATATCTCAAAAAACCACACTGAGTCCTTCACTGAGAAGGAAAGCTGACAGCATGCTTGTTTCGTGTAAGGAGGGTCATCCAAGCCTGGCTCTAAACCACTGAAGGACTTTGGGTGATCAATACATGGTTAGTCTAGAATGTGGGTTACTTTATTTTATATGTAAATATTTGTTTCCAACACTTCTACTTGCTATAACTTGAATCACTATGCTTTGTTAAATAAACTTATACTTGATTTCACTACAAACTTATCTTAATGCTCTGTACTAAGTTTAGTGGTGATCTGAGGTGGAACTGGTAAGCTGGGGTGTACTGTTTCTTTGAAAGCAGTGGACTGAGGCTGGATACTTCAGGGAGACACTCGAGGGCTGAGGTGTAACATTTGCTAACCTGTAAATTAACAGCTGGGTCTGTGAAGCCTCATGGGGAGCACTTGTGCTGCCCATGGTCAGTGGAGAAAGGGAGCTGATACACAACAGGCACAGACAAGACTTCCTTATGCTAAAGGCAGGTCATAGCAAGGTGCACCACAGCCCTGGGTACCTCTGGGAAGCATCACATCAACAACTAATATTTCTAGGTTTACTGCACATAGCGGACATTTTTCTGAAAGGGACATCGGGCATCTATTACATAGATATGGTACCAAACGAACCATTAGAGATTGTGAAGCAAATTGTGATACAAGAGTTAACAATTTACAAAACATTTTAAAAATCATATTAGGATAAGATTAATTTAAATGGATAGACTGGAGAATGGATAAAAAAATTCTTAGGACTTACTATTTCAACACTTACAGAAGTGTTATTGCTTTTTTCACTGTACTGAAATTTTACAGAGCCCATGTAGAAAACTAAATACAAAAAGACAAACAAAGTTAATAATAATGTTCATGGTTAACTGCTTGATTTAGAACCATTTTGAGAACTATACATTTCACTTGTTTTGTATTATGTGAGAAGATAAATAAGAGGATTGAATCTACCTTCTCTGTACCATTCATTATTCTGTATTCTTTTGCCATGCTTATTCATTTCCTACCTAAACTAAATATTCCCAATATCTTTAGTTTCTCTGGGTCTCTAATATTTTTTGCTGCCCATCTCTGAACTCCATTTCTCCTGTATCATTTTCAAGATAGAAAAACTAGACTGCACACACAGTGACCCAGACCTTGAGCTGCATAAGGACAGCTTTATACTGCTTCCCCAATTTTAATCTGCTCTATATGTTTCAGGCTAGTTTAGGGGGAATCTTCTAGTGGCATACTGATGATGTAGTGACTCCTATATGAGTCCCCCCTTGTGACCAGTCGGGGTGTTGCTGAAGGGAATAGGGAAGTCTAGGCACTGGTCCAGTGTCAGTGTAAATTAGAGCAGCCTTTAGGCTACTCTAATTTAAAACCATCAGCCAATGGCTCCAAAGGCTCTTAGACCAGCCATGATTTACTGGGACTGGGAGTGTCATATATGAGTCACTACGTCAGCTGTGCGCCACTCAAGGCTCACCATATACAGCTTGCTATGTCATCTTTAGGCAGCTCTGTACCAGGGGAACATGATGGTACTTTCCCTCTCAATGCATGACTAGATAATTTCCTTAACAAAACTTTTTGATTTTTGAAAATCCAAATATGTGCCAACAAATACTCCTTTATCCATTCTTTTGTTGACACGCTCAAAGTAGCTTAGAGAAGTACCCTTTTCCTTTCCAGAAGCCATGCTTGTTTGTCCATATCATATCACTTTCATCTAAGTGTTCTATAAGTATTTTTCTAATCCATCTTTCAACCTCTGTTCCTGGTACTGAAGTAAGGCCTATTGGTCTGCAATTCCAAGTTGACCTTTAGATCCTTTTTTAAAAATGAGTACATTTGTTAACTTCACTTGGAGTAGCTAATTTTAATGAGAGATTTTATACTTCTAATAGATGCTCAGATATTTCATTCAGAGCTCTTGGATGTACACCAACTGATCCTTGTTCTTTAATTTATCAGTTTTTCATAGCACCTTCCTTTTTTACTTCACAATCTTTGAAAAAACGTCACTAAAGGGAAAAAGATATCTTCCCAGCGGACTGTGTGGTCTTTGCAGAGAAGCTAAATTATTTCTTTGAATCAGTAATGATACAAAGACATCATTTAGTTTCTCTGAAAAGTCCTCACGCTCTTTAATTTCTATCTTTACTTCCCAATAGTCCAGTGGACCCATCAAGAGGTTTTCTGCTGCCAATATACCTAACAAATCTCTTATTTGTTTTTATGTCTTGGCTCTTCAAAATCCCTCTTAATTATGAGTCTGTCAATTTTAGTTTCCTTAGTTTTAATTTTCATATTGTATTGTATTGTGTAATACATCTAACTTTGAACATATTACAGTGCTCCCTCAATACTTACATATGCTTTCTATTGTTTCCTTTTTATCCTTATTTTTAAATATAACACGATTTTACTGTCTGTTTAAAACAGAGGTGGGCAAACTTTTTGGCCTGATGGCCACATCTGGGTGGGGAAATTGCATGCAGGGCCATGAATGTAAGGCTGGGGCAGGGGGTAGGGGTGCAGGAGGGAGTGTGGGAGGAGGTGCAGTGTGCAGGAAGGGGCTCAGGGCAAGGGGTTGGGGCACAGAAGGGGTGCGGGGTATACGAGGGGGCTCAGGGCAGGGGATTGGGGTGCAAGAGGGGGTGCACAATGCGGGAGGGGGTTCAGGGCAGGGGGTTGGGGTGCAGGAGGAGTTCGGGGTGCGGGCTCCGGCCTGGTGCCGCTTACCTGGAGCGGCTCCAGGGTGGCAGTGGCACGCACCAGGGCCAGGGCAGGCTCCCTGCCTGCCTGCCCTGGTCTCTGCCCCGGCCCCGTGCCACTCCAGGAAGCGGCTGGCACCACATCACTGTGGCCCCTGGGAGCGGGGGGGCAGAGGGCGCTGTGCACTGCTCTTGCCTGTGGGTACCTCCCTCGAAGCTCCCATTGGCCGTGGTTCCCTGTTCCCGGCCCATGGGAGCTTCAGGGGAGGTATCCACTGGCAAGAGCAGCGTGCGGAGCCCTCTACCCTGCCCTCCCCGCCCCCCCAACAGGGGCCGCAGGGACGTGGTGCCGGCCGCTTCCCGGAGTGGCATGGGGCCCGTAGCACCATGGGGGTGGTAATCCCATCCGCTGGATCCAAAGCTCTGAGGGGCCGGATCCAGTCCGTGGGCCATGGTTTGCCCACCCCTGGTTTAAAATAACGTTAATGATATTATTATTATAATACAATTTTAAATGCATTCTTTGCATTTCCTAAGCTTGATAATGATAGGTACTAGTAGTATGTAAACTTTACATTTACATGTGGATGAGAGAAATTATAAATTTAATAATTTTCCTTCAGTATTAAACTTGTGAAATACAAACTCAGAAAATATTTTCTTGAATATTATTTTTAATATTGCACATGATTTTGTAAGAGAAAGTTACATACTTGTTTTTTCTAGGTTGGCAACCAGGATATAAGAATTTCAAACCTAGGATATTTTAGAGATTTTATAAATATATTGCATGTATGCCTCACTGCTCAGAAGAGATAAATATTTGGATATGATACACTTAAGGAAAAAACCCACTAACCTGAATCATTACAGATGGCTGATAAATTATGTAAGTTGTTATCAGATAGTTTTGTTTCTGCAAAAAAAATTAATACAGTTGAATTCAAATGTAATCTTGTTCAACATATGTAATTATATATTATGTTTTTAAATGATGAATGTCTGTATAAACTTAAATGTCTTGAGGTTTGCAAAATATTTTACATTTTATCTATGCTTTATTGGTGTTTGTAAGGCACCTATCAAAGGGTATCTAAGTCCCAGTATTCAGATGTAATGTATATCTACCTAAATTGTTCTGTAACTCTTCCCCCAGCATAACTACATAGTATATCTACACACATACACATAAACATACTCTCGCTATATATAATAAAAACATATTTTAGTGATCACCATTTAATAGAAGAAAACAAAGCAGCAATTATATTTTCCACAAACTAGTATCTGAGACAATGTGCCACTGATTCCCTATACTTAGAATGGGAAGTTAATTTAGTATCATAGATACAGACAGACAGACAGACATCATCCAAAGTCGGGTAAAGCAGCTACTTCTCTAAACAATGAAATAAGACATTCATTTCTGTAATCCATATTACAACTTTCCAGGTGCAAAGAGTGAAGAAAAGGCCCATTTATCTGGACAGTTTTGTTGTTGAATATTAAATTAAACAAACATGTGTAGTTAAGCTAATAAGGTTAATATACTATGCACCACAATGTAATATAAATCAGCATATCTTGAACAGACTCTTAACATACTACTATGCTCAACCACTTTAAAAACCTATCATGTGTTTTTGATGGTCTTACTCTGGCTATTTATTTCATGAACACATGAGATTCAAAAACTATTCTTTTTGGTCCATCCCATTATTTTATCCTATTGTGATATGAATTTTTTTTTCTTTCACATGGTACAATATGTTTGCATATACAGTAAGTCACATACTTACCATTTTTACAACTACTTATACCTACAAAGAAACCAAACAATAATCAGCTCAGCCAATGCAAGCTTCCACACCCTACTTAACCAACCCTCCTCAATCCTTTTGTGTAGGCACCACTTCTTGGGGTGAGACAGTAGTTCAGTCTTCATTCCCAATCAATTCCTGATTTCTCTGCTGAAGTTATCATCACATGCCAAATGGGAAGCCTGGTTTATGTTTTTTGTGCTACATAATAAACAGAGCTAATCTATGTAATGCACTTTTTTTTTTTTTTACTTTAGTAGATGGACAGCCATCTGAAGGCCGTGACTTTAGATTGTTGCATGATACAGTTTTAAACCTATTTTACAAAAGTAAAAGGTTCTACGCCTGGCCTGTGGGGCACTTTTTAAACATTGTGTGAAGCTTTAATTATTTTATAAACTCACTTCATTATACAGTATTACAAAAATACTAACACACTCAGCTCACTTTTTAAATTAAAATAAGTTTGCCACTTACCATTCGTATTGGCAGTAGTTGGTAGAGTAACACTATCAGTTACATTGAAGGTTATATTTGCAGATAATTTCCCTAAAAGAAATAAAGGTAACTGAATTTATTAAAATAGTTAACACTGTATTAAAAGCAATACATTAGAAAGACTCAGTTTAGATAATTTAGATAGTAGCACAAAGCTGACAAGAATGGATTTGTCTCTTTCTCTGTGTTGATACAATGCCTTAGTGTTCTCAACCAGGGGTACGCATACCCCTGGGGGTACATCAGCTCATCTAGATATTTGCCTAGTTTTACAACAGGCTACGTAAAAAGCACTAGTGAAGTCAGTACAAACTTAATTTCATATAGACAAAATGAGAAAGTAAGCAGTTTTTCAGTAATAGTGTGCTTGTGACACTATTGTATTTTTATGTGTCTGATTGTGTACGCAATTAGTTTTTAAGTGAGGTGAAACTTGGGGATACACAAGACACATCAGACTCCTGCAGGGATACAGTAGTCTGAAAAGGTTGTGCCTTAGCACAATGAGGCCCTCATCTTGTTTAGAGTCTGCCTGTGCTACCATAATGAAAATAATAAATCGTAAGGATGCAATAAATGCCATAGAGCAAGTTTGGGGGCTATCTACATGCTTTTATGCCTCAACCCTGCAAAACCTGCTGGCCATCATCATTGTGATTTTCTTTTATTCTATGTTCACACTGTGATTCAAATTGTGTCTGCTGAATAGTTTAAAGCCAGTGCCTAGCCCACTCAGGATAACCCAATCTGTTAGATTCATACATAGGTTAGAAGATACTAATTTCCAAACTTGTTTTGAACTCAGTTTTGATATCCTCAACCAATTTAAAAACAATTTGTTTTTTTTCCAAGAAACATGGTTCCTGGCCCAGCATATCGTAAACCCTTGCCCCTCCACACTCTGATGCCCCAACCACCAGAAATACTGTTTGCGTGCTGCCACTGCAGGTCTGAGCTGCACTCCATACTAGAGATGCATAACTCATCATAGGGATACTACCCCTTTCACACGCAGGTACAGCAGAACAACACGGGTTCTACGGCCACACAGTCCTCTCTTGTTCTGAAAGATTGTTCCATACTTCCTGTTCTACTCTGTGAGATAAATGGATTTGTGCTTTACTGAATCATGGCCTCAATTCATGCTCCCATTACCTTATCCTAAAGGCTTCACTGGATAACAGCAACCAATCAAAACAAACTGTGTGATCTTGACAGATATAATAAACTGAGTCAAGCTGGGCCTTGTCAATAGCTGAATTGGAGGCTTTCAGGTATTTTGGAGCCTGTGGATTATCTGTGCAGCAGATAGTAGCTGCTAAAACTACAGTACATTAATGGGAACATTTTAATCAGACAGAAGTTACGAAATTCAAAGATAGGGTTCAATAGCAATGTTAAATTTATCCCTTTCAGTTACTGCATGTTTTATGATAGGGCCTGTAGGGTTAAAATCTCAACTTTCACGTATATGCAATGAAATCATATGAACACGATATAAAACAAGACTGATTGCTCATATGAAATACCATAATAAAAAAAGTCATATTCAGAATACTTGATCATAGACTCCCAAAGCTCAGAAATCATCCTTTTCTGCCACTCAAAATAGAGTTTAACAAGGATATAACAGCCTTACCTGCTGTTGTGGAGAAGTTAAATTCAGGGATATTAGTAGTTTCTGCAGAAAAAAATAAATAAATACAAGAATTTCTAATAAAAAGCCTGTGAAATACTGGTCATATAAATGAGCTGCAAGTCACTTTCCGATTTCTAGTTCAGACTCTCCTCTTGTTTGCACTTGCATGAATCAGTAATAATTTCTTTTAAAAGATGAGTGAGTTACTTCAGAATAAAACTTTTGCAAGTGAAAGAAGAATTAGGCCTCTGTCTCTAAATTCAGAGATCAGGAAAGCGAGTTAATTATGTCCTTCTTGTTTAGAATACGATTGACCCAGTTTAAACCATGAAACATATTCCCATATTCCACCATGGTGGACACCTTATAAATGTGTGTAATGAAGGAGGTGGATATTTAAAATTGTTTCAAAAATATTTTGAGTAGTTTTAGCAATTATGACACAGAGCCAGAAAGGGTTAAGTAACTTGCTAGCTAAATGACCCAAATTCAGCATTTAAAGACATATTAGAGAAGTAGATAAATGGTAATTAGGGCTATTCCTTATAAATAACTAACATAGCCATGTTAAATAGACTAGAGCTTTGTGTTTACTTATATCTTGTTAGATGTTAGCCATGTAAATAGATGGTTCCTGTCTGTTTCTATATCTATTGATGCACAGATAAATGGGAATATTAACATTTAGATGGAGCTTGGGTGTATAATTTCATTGTTTATACTTCTCTTTGAAGCTTGTAGCAAACTGTCTATGAACCTCTTTATGCATAATTACCTTATGCTGATGAATGCGACTAGTTACCTGTGTAGACATAGGAAATAGGTAATTCTTCTTCAAAGCAACTATTCTTTACCCAAGGACTGCATGCTGTCTGGAAAATGTGTAAAGGGCTTTTGGGAGCTGATCCTTTCATCTCAGATTTGCTTAAACTTTCTCAGGGGAAGTTTAAGTCGCAAGACTGTGGTCTCCAGTGCATTCTGGATCACCCTGATATTCAAAGTGGATATTGGACTATAACCTGATAAACTGATTCTGGAAAGGATTCTTTGCAACTCTGAAGCTCACCATCTCTACTATGAAACTGACCTAAGGACTCTATGCATTTCTGTATGTATAATGATCTTTTAACCAATACTCTCTCTCTTTTCTTTTAATAAATCTTAGTTTAGTTAATAAGAATTGGCTGTAAGTATGTATTTGGGTACGATCTGAGATATTCATTAACTTGATGGGTAATGTGTCTGATCCTTTGGAATTGGTAGAACTTTTTCATATGATGAACAAGATTTTCAGTAATCCTCATCGTATGTGACTTGGCAGTCTGGGTGGAAGCCCAAGGCTGGGTTACTTTAAGGGAACTGTGTTTTTGGCTTCTGGGTAACAAGTAAGATATTGTAGTAAGATATTGTTGCTGGCTTGGTAAATCTAAAGTATCAGAATAACCACCAGTTTTGGGGATTATCTGCCCCATTCTTTGCATTTGCCCTAATTGAGTAATCTCAGCGTGGCTCCACTGGGACCTTGGTCACAGCAATCTTACTGAATTCACTGTTCAACACAGAACCAGCATTCCTCCATAATTTCTAAAATACAAAAAAAAGGAGAAAAATACTATGTAAAGATAAGCATTACCTGTCTGGTTTGGCTCCGGCCATACACTTATAGTTCTATCTAAAAAGGAAAGGAGTTTCTTTTGATTAACAGTATCATATGTATTTTATATTTTAAAAACTCTAACAATGCAAACTTAATGAAGGGGGGTGGCTAACCAGCCAATATGATAAACATTTTTAAGGTTGTGAAAATAATGATCATGGGCCAAATTTAACACTAGTTTAAACAAGTACAACCTTACTGAATATAAGAGATCTGAATTTGGCTCTCATTCTAAACTTTGTATTTGTGTAAAATAATTCTCACCTTCGTTACTTGATCTTTCTAGTGAAGTTGTATCTGAGTAATAGAACAAAAATAGAAAAAAGTTAAAATGTTCACAATAAAAAGGTAAGACATAAGCTAAATACATCAAAATATGAGAAATGTTAAGAAAATCTTGCCTGAAGCATTAATGGGGTAGGTGATAAAAGTAACGATTGAGGATTCTGCAGCAAAATAAATAAAAATAGAGAAGCATAACATTAGTGCTTAAATTTTTGTTTGTAAGAAAATGTGGGCAGATTTTTAAGCTTACTATGCCCACAACTGGGGACAGAATTTCAAAAAGTTAAGACTCCAGTTTAGGCACCTGAAGGAAGTGGCCAGATTTTCAAAAATACCTAGAACCCACTGAGAACAAGAGGTGCTGAATACTTTTGAACATCTGAATGAGTGCTTGAATGGGGACTGCTGGTAACTGAGCTTTTTTTGAAAATTTTGCATTTGGATATTTGCCCCATGTATAGCAGATTAGTCTGGTACAGCCTGCCCAGTAGCTATGAACTTCCCCACCATTCTTCTTCTGAAGCTGTGACAGCCCTACCAGTCTAGTCCTGTGACTCTCTTGCAAAGATTACCAATTGTTCTGAATTCTGGTAAATTATGTGTAACATGGTCATATAATTGTCCATTGTTCCTAGCCATTTTTGCTAAAAATTGAAAAAGGATGCATATAATTGCTTCAGCTATATACGTAAAATAGAAGAAAATGTATCCATAGAAGCAGGAACAGAGAAAGCCAATGTTGAGGTGAAAATTTTTATCAAACACAAGTTGGGAAATTCAGATAAAACTGTAACACTAAATCCATTTATTTCAGTTACTGAATGTTCTATGAAAGGATCCTGTAGGTTTACAATCTCAGTTCTCATGTATATACACAATGAAATCATATGAACTTGGCCCACAGTAAGACTGATTGCTAATGTGAAATACAATATTAAAAAAATAATATTCAAAATATTAGAACATAGACTCCCACAGCTCATAAACCACGCTTTTATGCCACTCAAAATACAATTTAACAGCAATATACAGCCTTACCTACTGTTGTGGAGAAGTTAAATTCAGGGATATTAGTAGTTTCTGTAGAAAAAATAAATAAATTAAATATAAGAATTTCTGATAACAAGCCAATATAATACTGATCATTTAAATGAGCTGCCAGGTCTCGTTCCCATGTTTATTTCAGACTCTCCTCCTGTTTGCCCTAGCATTAATACATAATAACTTCTTATAAAAGATGATTGAGTTACTTCAGAATAAAACTTTTGCATGTGAAAGGAGAATTAGCTCATTTGTCTCTAAGCCCTGGTCTACACTAGGACTTTAGGTTGAATTTAGCAGCGTTAAATTGATGTAAACCTGCACCCGTCCACACGATGAAGCCCTTTATTTCAACTTAAAGGGCTCTTAAAATCAATTTCCTTACTCCACCCCTGGATTAGTGCTTAAATCGGCCTTGCCGGGTCGAATTTGGGGTACTGTGGACACAATTCGACTGTATTGGCCTCCGAGAGCTATCCCAGAGTGCTCCATTGTGACCGCTCTGGACAGCACTCTCAACTCAGATGCACTGGCCAGGTAGACAGGAAAAGAACCGCGAACTTTTGAATCTCATTTCCTGTTTGGCCAGCGTGGCAAGCTGCAGGTGACCATGCAGAGCTCATCAGCACAGGTGACCATGATGGAGTCCCAGAATCGCAAAAGAGCTCCAGCATGGACCGAACGGGAGGTACGGGATCTGATCGCTGTATGGGGAGAGGAATCCGTGCTATCAGAACTCTGTTCCAGTTTTCGAAATGCCAAAACATTTGTCAAAAATCTCCCAGGCCATGAAGGACAGAGGCCATAACAGGGACCTGAAGCAGTGCCACATGAAACTTAAGGAGCTGAGGCAAGCCTATCAGAAAACCAGAGAGGCGAACGGCCACTCCGGGTCAGAGCCCCAAACATGCCGCTTCTATGATGAGCTGCATGCCATTTTAGGGGGTTCAGCCACCACTACCCCAGCCGTGTTGTTTGACTCCTTCAATGGAGATGGAGGCAACATGGAAGCAGGTTTTGGGGACGAAGAAGATGATGATGATGATGAGGTTGTAGATAGCTCACAGCAAGCAAGCAAGCGGAGAAACCGGTTTTCCCGACAGCCAGGAACTGTTTCTCACCCTGGACCCTGGAGCCAGTACCCCCCCGAACCCACCCAAGGCTGCCTCCTGGACCCGGCAGGTGGAGAAGAGACCTCCGGTGAGTGTACCTTTTAAAATACTATACATGGTTTAAAAGCAAGCATGTGAAAGGATTAATTTGCCCTGGCATTCGCAGCTCTCCTGGATGTACTCCCAAAGCCTTTGCAAAAGGTTTCTGGGGAGGGCAGCCTTATTGCGTCCTCCATGGTAGGACACTTTACCACTCCAGGCCAGTAACACGTACTCGGGAATCATTGTAGAACAAAGCATTGCAGTGTATGTTTGCTGGCATTCAAACAACATCCGTTCTTTATCTCTCTGTGTTATCCTCAGGAGAGTGAGATATCATTCATGGTCCCCTGGTTGAAATAGGGTGCTTTTCTTCAGGGGACACTCAGAGGAGCCTGTTCCTGCTGGGCTGTTTGTCTATGGCTGAACAGAAATGTTCCCCGCTGTTAGCCATGGGGAGGCGGGAGGGTTGAGGGGGTAGCCACACGGTGGGGGGAGGCAAAATGAGACCTTGTAACAAAAGCACATGTGCTATGTATGTAATGTTAACAGCAAGGTTTACCCTGAAAGAGTGTAGCCACTGTTTTATAAAATGTGTCTTTTTAAATACCGCTGTCCCTTTTTTTTCCTCCACCAGCTGCACGTGTTTCAATGATCACAGGATCTTCTCCTTCCCAGAGGCTAGTGAAGATTAGAAAGAAAAAAAAAACACACTCATGATGAAATGTTCTCTGAGCTCATGCTGTCCTCCCACACTGACAGAGCACAGACGAATGCGTGGAGGCAAATAATGTCAGAGTGCAGGACAGCACAAAATGACCGGGAGGAGAGGTGGCGGGCTGAAGAGAGTAAGTGGCGGGCTGAAGACAGGGCTGAAGCTCAAATGTGGTGGCAGCGTGATGAAAGGAGGCAGGATTCAATGCTGAGGCTGCTGGAGGATCAAACCAGTATGCTCCAGTGTATGGTTGAGCTGCAGCAAAGGCAGCTGAAGCACAGACTGCTACTACAGCCCCTGTGTAACCAACCGCCCTCCTCCCCAAGTTCCATAGCCTCCACACCCAGACGCCCAAGAACGCGGTGGGGGGGCCTCCGGCCAACCAGCCACTCCGCCCCAGAGGATTGCCCAAAAAACAGAAGGCTGGCATTCCATAAATTTTAAAGTTGTAAAGTTTTAAAGTGCTGTGTGACATTTTCCTTCCCTCCTCCACCACCCCTCCTGGGCTACCTTGGTAGTCATCCCCCTATTTGTGTGATGAATGAATAAAGAATGCATGAATGTGAAGCAACAATGACTTTATTGCCTCTGCAAGCGGTGATCGAAGGGAGGAGGAGAGGGTGGTTAGCTTACAGGGAAGTAGAGTGAACCAAGGGGCGGGGGGTTTCATCAAGGAGAAACAAACAGAACTTTCACACTGTAGCCTGTCCAGTCATGAAACTGGTTTTCAAAGCTTCTCTGATGCGTACCGTGCCCTCCTGTGCTCTTCTAACCGCCCTGGTTTCTGGCTGCGCGTAACCAGCAGCCAGGCGATTTGCCTCAACCTCCCACCCCGCCATAAACGTCTCCCCCTTACTCTCACAGATATTGTGGAGCGCACAGCAAGCAGTAATAACAGTGGGAATATTGGTTTCGCTGGGGTCTAAGCGAGTCAGTAAACTGCGCCAGCGCGCCTTTAAACGTCCAAATGCACATTCTACCACCATTCTGCACTTGCTCAGCCTGTAGTTGAACAGCTCCTGACTACTGTCCAGGCTGCCTGTGTACGGACTCATGAGCCATGGCATTAAGGGGTAGGCTGGGTCCCCAAGGATACATATAGGCATTTCAACATCCCCAACAGTTATTTTCTGGTCTGGGAATAAAGTCCCTTCCTGCAGCTTTTGAAACAGATCAGAGTTCCTGAAGATGCGAGCGTCATGCACCTTTCCCAGCCATCCCACGTTGATGTTGGTGAAATGTCCCTTGTGATCCACCAGAGCTTGCAGCACTATTGAAAAGTACCCCTTGCGGTTTATGTATTCGCCGGCTTGGTGCTCCGGTGCCAAGATAGGGATATGGGTTCCGTCTATAGCCCCACCACAGTTAGGGAATCCCATTGCAGCAAAGCCATCCACTATGACCTGCACATTTCCCAGGGTCACTACCCTTGATATCAGCAGATCTTTGATTGCGTGGGCTACTTGCATCACAGCAGCCCCAACAGTAAATTTGCCCACTCCAAATTGATTCCCAAGCAAGCTTCCACAGGGCTATCGCCACTCGCTTCTCAACTGTGAGGGCTGCTCTCATCTTGGTATTCATGTGCTTCAGGGCAGGGGAAAGTAAGTCATAAAGTTCCATGAAAGTGCCCTTACGCATGCGAAAGTTTCGCAGCCACTGGGAATCGTCCGAGACCTGCAACACTATGCGGTCCCACCAGTCTGTGCTTGTTTCCTGAGCCCAGAATCGGCGTTCCACAGCATGAACCTTCCCCATTAGCACCATGATGCATGCATTGGCAGGGCCCATGCTTTCAAAGAAATCTGTGTCCATGTCCTGATCACTCACGTGACCGCGCTGACGTCGCCTCCTCGCCCGGTATTGCTCTGCCAGGTTCTGGTGCTGCATATGCTGCTGGATAACGCATGTGGTGTTTAATGTGCTCCTAATTGCCAAAGTGAGCTGAGTGGCCTTCATGCTTGCCTTGGTATGGCATCCGCACAGAAAAAAGGCGCGGAACGATTGTCTGCCATTGCTCTGACAGAGGGAGGGGCGACTGATGACACGGCTTACAGGGCTGGCTTCAGGGAGCTAAAATCAACAAAGGGGGTGGCTTTACATCAAGGAGTATTTCAGGCAGGACTTCATGGAGGGTTCCAATAAGAAATGGTGCACCTAAGTTATTGTTCTTATTGGAACAAGGAGGTTAGTCTGGTCTCTGATTGATACATAGCTAGATTTACCTCGCTGCACCTTCTCTGTGAGTGACTGCAGTGTGACCTAGAGGAATGAGTCCTCTAGACCGGGGAGGGGGGGGAAGCAAATGAGTACAAAACAAATCTGGTCTATCTCTTGTTTTGATCCACTCCATCTATCTTTTACATCTTTGGCTGGCAGCAGATGGTGCAGAAGGACTGCAAGCCATCCACATCTCATGGCTGCTCGGCAGAAGACGGTGCAGTAGGACTGCTAGCCATCCTCATCTCTTGCCTGCCTGGCAGAAGATGGTACAGTACGAATGCTAGCAATCTGTATCGCCTGCCTGCTCACCATAAGATGGTTCAATAGGACTGACTGCAGGACTAAAGAGAATGACCAGGTCAAGTCACTCCAAATTTAGTCCCTGCGCCCATGTCTGCCCAGGCGCTCCTGGCCGACGTGGCCAGGAGCACCTCGGACATGATGATGACGGCTACCAGTCGTATTGTACTGTCTGCTGCCACAAGGCAATGGGTTGCTGCTACTGTGTAGCAATGCAGTACCACGTCTGCCAGCAACCAGGGGACATACGGTGACAGTGAGCTGAGCGGGCTCCATGCTTGCCGTGGTATGGCGTCTGCACAGGTAACTCAGGAAAAAAGGTGTGAAACGATTGTCTTCCCTTGCTTTCACGGAGGGAGGGAGGGAACGGGGGCCTGACGATATGTACCCAGAACCACCCGCGACAATGTTTTAGCCCCATCAGGCATTGGGATCTCAACCCAGAATTCCAATGGGCAGCGGAGACTGTGGGAATTGTGGGATAGCTACCCACAGTGCAACACTCCAGAAGTCGACGCTTGCCTCGGTACTGTGGAAGCACTCCGCCGAGTTAATGCACTTAGAGCATTTTCTGTGGGGACACACACACTCGAATATATAAAACCGATTTCTAAAAAACCGACTTCTATAAATTCGACCTAATTTCGTAGTGTAGACATACCCTAAGTTCAGAGATCAGGGGAGTGGGTAAATGATGCCCCTCTTGTCTGGAACATTACTGACACAATTTAAACCATGAAATGTGTGCCCATATACCACAGTAATAGACAAAATACAAATGTGAATAATGAATGTGTTGGATATTTAATAATCATTCAAAAATATTTTAAGTAGTTTTAGCAAATGCACTCAATTCACTTTTCAAACAGAACCAATAGCCCTAAATATTTTCTAACATACAAATTAATAATAAAAAAAAAACCCTCCATAAAAATACGCATGTACCTGTATGGTTTGGCTTTGGCAACACATTTAAAGTTCTGTCTGAAAGGGAAAGGAGTATATTTTGGATAACTGTAAAATATTATTTTAACAGTTTTTTAAAAAACTCAACCAGTGCAACCTTACCTGTGGGGTGGCTAAACACCCAGTATAATGAACCTTTTTTCAAAGTTCAAAGCTGGCCAAATTTAGCCCTGGTTTATACAAGCTCAAACCTATTGAACACAATGGAGTTTTGTCTGCTTATACCATGTCTGAATTTGGCCTTAATTCTACAGTTCTTATTTGTGTAATACATATCATTCTCACCTGCAGTGCTTGTATCTGAACTTGTAGCTGAAAAATACAACAAAAATATACAAAAATTATAAAAATGACAAAATAAAAAGTAAAACTTAAGCTAAATATATCTAGATATGAGAAATATTAATTTCTTGCCTGAAGCATTGATGGGGTAGGTGATAAAAGTAACAATAGAGGATTCTGCTGGAAAAAAGAGAAAAGAAAATAGACAAACATAAAGTTAGTGCTTTATTAAATTATTTTCTTCTAAGATTGTCAGGGCCAGAGTTTCAAACTCTCAAGACCAGTAAATGGGGACAGAATTTCAAAAAGCTAAACCTCCAATTTAAGCACCTAAAAAAAGTGGCTAGATTTTCAAAAATACTGAGTATACATTGAGAACAATGGGTGTTGAATACTTTTGAAAATCTGAATGAGTTACTGAATGGGAGATGCTGGTAATTGAGTTCTTTTGAAAATTTTGCGCTTGGTGTTTTTGTACTCATGAAAGACAGAGATTAGTCTGGTACTGACTGGCCAGTAGCAATGAACTTCCTCACCTTTCTTCCGTTTCAACTCAACCTTGAGCTGTGATAGCCCTGCCAGTCAAGGTGAGCAAAGATGACCAATTTTATTGAAATATAGAAAACGGTATGTAATATGAAATATCTATTTTGCCTCAAATTAGCTGGTCTTGCTAAAAATGAAAAGGAAATAAATAAATGTTTTAGCTACATACATGAAACAAAAGAAAACTATATCAATACAAGCAGGAACAAAGAAATGCAGGGAAAAATCAGGAATGTATGCAGCAACTTATTCTTCAATGTACACAGTTAAAATGTCTTTTCCCACATTGCAATACAAGAGTAAATAGTGTTCAAAGGGCAGTGTAGCTCAGAGGACAATGTAACTCAGGTACAGCTTGTGATATCTCAATGATTATTTTGAAGGGCTCTACACAACTGCTTGTCAGTGTGCAGGTAGACACCAGTAATATGATTTTTTCTGAACGGCTTCCTAACAAGGTGATTTGTCATCACAGAAACAAATCTGGTTCCCATCTATTGAACTGTAATACCACTTAGTGGGAAGACCCATGAAACTGCTACAAGATCTATTACAGAATTATTAACAAATTCAACCTCAAAGCCTGGTGAGGGTATACCACAGAGTGGAGAGCATGCTTGAAATTTGCAAGTCAGGTTCTATGGCATGTGTACATTAATACACATTGTATTTGACTGTGATTTTTCTTTTAATTTAAAAAGGAAAAAAAAAACTCTACAGTTCTTTCCTATCTGTTAGCGATAAAACCAGTAAGTCATGATTCTTCTACTTGAATTATGGCCAAAAAAATTCTCACTCTATTACTCATGGCTTTTAACTATGAGTTACAGGTGTGAGTCAGCTTCTTTGGCATTGTAACCTGAAATTCAAGGAAGAAAAGGAAATGCCCCTCAATGCTAACAATAAAATGCACATACTCTGTAATACAGCCTTTATAAGAGTCATCTCAACACAATCACAAAGAAAACTTGTTTTGCTCTATATTTGTCCCTGGTTAACTCTCGGGTAGGAATTACGCATTAAATTGTTGTTACAAAATGGGTCAAATTTTCTTTTTAGATGTTATTTTCTGCTAATTTCTGAGGAAGATAATCTGACCTCTTTCACAGTAGCAGCCGTGTTAGTCTGTATCCGCAAAAAGAACAGGAGTATTTGTGGCACCTTAGAGACTAACAAATTTATTTGAGCATAAGCTTTCGTGAGCTACAGCTACATCCGATGAAGTGAGCAATCTGACATCTGTACCTAATGCCACGTTTCCACCTTTGCTTCTCTCCTCAAACAAAGTTTCTTCTAATGTCATCTGGCAATGGAGCACAAACCAAAAATGCAATAATTCCATAACTCAGGATGGCATATATTTTGTTCCCATTTTACCTAAAGTATTATTTACAGTATAGAGCCACCTCCATAAAAACAGACTTTGTTTCTTCAGCTTCTAATATGACTCATCTAACCAGTGTCAAAAATTTCTGGCATTTATTATCCTCTGGTAAAGTAAAAAAAAAAAAAAAAAAAAGAGGCCCAACCCACATTACAAAATATTAGAGAGACAAGGTGGGTGAGGCAATATCTTTGACTGGACCACCTTCTGCTAGTGAGAGAGACAAACTTTTGAATTACACAAAGCTCTTCTTCAGGTCTCAAAACATGACAGACATCTGTAAATGATCGAGTGATGTCAAACTAATAGCTTCAGTATATGCAAAAGGCATCTCTGACTGTCAATCAGCTAGGGTTAGGTACTATTAATAAGAAGTGTGACTATGGTGAGACTATTTTTACATTTGTTTGGTACTTGGAAGAATTGTGTATTGCCAGCCATGGTAAGTGAAGTCTTCCCTTTATTCTCAGAACAGATACACTGCTATGTTTATCTGCAATGTGTCTGAACCTCATCTTCTTGTGGGACCACCAGCAGGTGAGCGAAGATGGATAAAGGTTTCCTGGGGCCCTGGGCCAGAGCAAGAGGGGAAGGCCCCTCCCCACCCCTTCCACCTTCAGCCCTGCCCATGGCCCCACCCCTTTCTGTCCCTTCCCTGGGGCCCACCCCTGTTCCACTCAGGGTCTCCTCCATTCCACCCCCCCCCCCACAACCTGTTTGCTACTTTCTGCCCCCCTCACTGCAGCCCCAAAACCAGAAAAGCTCTGTCCCCCGCCACAGCCCCAGGCCACAGCAGGGAGTCAAAGCTCCCGCAGCCCTGAGGCCATGACAGATAGCGAGCACTTCTCCAGTCCTAGGGCTGCAGCAGGGGTCCCAGTGCTGGGGCTTTCCCCGCTGCCCCCCCTGGCTTCTGCCAGGGTTGGAGAACGCTGGGGGCTTCTCCTGCTGCCCTCTGGCTTCTGCCGGGGAGTGGGGTTGGGGCACAGGGACTTTCCCCTCCCTGCCCGCCTGGTGGCTGGTTCCGGGACCCCCAGTTGGCCGGGGCCCCTGGGCACGGGCCCCATAGGCCCAGCGGCTAATCCACCACTGCAAGTGAGACAGGCTTGTTCAATCCCTTTACCAGTTCAATCCTTGGCCTGCACTGATGCTACCAAGAAGGATGTCAATCACAGCAAACTGAAGTGATTTTTATGATCTATTCAATTGTCCAGAAAGAAGTCACATAAGCCAGGGCATGGCAGTCACATGCTAATGCCTTTTTAACATTACTCAGGTAGGTCGGATTGGAACCAGGGATCTAGAGGTGAAAGGCCCTATATTATTTTACCATCAGTTCTAAGCAGTCCATTCCATCCTTCCTCTGATGACTTATGTTCATAAGTCACTCAGAGTATGTTTACACCACATCTGGGAGCAAACCTCCCAGTTCAGGTCTACAGACTCATGCTAGAACCCTAGAAATAGCTGTGGAGACATTGCTTTGACACTGTGTCCTGGGCTGGAGACCGGGCTATTTTTAGCTCACTAGCACTAGCCCCACTAGCACAAATCTATGCTATCTCCCAAATGCAGTGTGGACATTCCTTGGGAGCTTTTAAAAAGCCAACCCTTCATTCTCACAACTCCAAATTCCAATGTAATCATAACTACGGAATTGCTAAATCGCTGCTAGCAAAGTGGGGTCCTGGTCCTTGACTCAGGCTCCTAGTGCTATGGTAATACAAATAATAAATAAAATAATAACAAAATATTTTGAGGTTTTGAAAAATTGTCCTAAGGCAAAATTCAGCACTGGTTAAAAACACACATAACCTCACTAAACACAATGGAGTTTTGTCTGCTTACATCAGGTCTGAATTTGTCCCCAGTTCTACAGTTTGTAGTGGGTAGAATAATTCTCACCTGAAGTGCTTGTCTTTTCTAATGAAGTTGTATCTGTGAAAGAAATATAACAATAATAATAAAAAGTAATAAAAAATAAAATAAAAAGTAAAACATAGGGTAGATACATCTAGATATCAGATATGTTAATAAAAATCTTGCCTGAAGCGTTAATAGAGTAGGTGATAAAAATACCAATAGCTGATTCTGCCAAAGGGGAAAAAGGTTTGGGAAGAGGCATAAAATCAGTGATTTCATTTTTTTGTGAGAATCTGGGACCAGATTTTCAATTGCTCATCACCTATAACTCAGGACAGAACTACAAGAGCTCAAGATCCAATTTAAATACCTAGAAATGGCCACTTTTTCAAAAATATTCAATACCCAGCAGCTGACATTCAGAACAATAGATGTTGAGCACTTTTAGACACCTGGCCACTGATTAAGTGCCCGACTTGAAGTTGTTAGTAGCTGAGCTCTTTTGATAATTTTGTCCTTGGTTTTGTTTAGTACTCATAAAAGAGAGAGATGAGTCTGGCCAGTAGCAATTAACTTCCCCACCACAATTTTATTGCTGAATGCAGCCCTGCCTGTATAGCCCTGCCAGTCTAGTCCTGTGACTCTCTTGAAAAAAAGATTCCCAATTATACTGGACTGTGGCAAACTATATGTAATATGAATTATTTATTGTACCTCAAATAAGATGTGTTTGATAACAAATGAAAAAGGATGTAAATAAATACTTCAGCTATATACATGAAACAAAATAAAATTATATTAATACAAGCCATAAAACAGAAATGCAGAAATTTGGGGTTTTTTTTGGAAAGTCAGGGATGTATGCAAAAGCTTATTCTTGAACACACACATTTTAAAAGTATTTCCACACAATATAGTGTAGAAGTAAATAGCGTTCAGAGGGCAACCTAGCTCAGATGTACCATGTGACACCTCAGTGACAACTTCGAAGGGCTCCATACAACAACTGCTTGTCAATCTGTCAGAAGGGACCAGTACTATGTTTTTCAAAGTGTTGCTAAGAAGGCGATTGTCGTCAAAGAAACAAACACGATAAATATACTAAAGAATAACGATTACATCAATTAAGAGAGAATTGCACACAAGACATAAGCAACCTATTTCATGATACAAAGGAGGACAAAAGGCTCCTGTTTCATAGGTTAGATTATTTTGGAAATAAATTTATTTTGGCCTACCATTTTACAAAATCCCTTGTAGAGTACCCCCTTACTCCTTGCTCATGGGATTAATAACTTGGCACAAATGGCCCTTCAACTATCAGGATTCTGATGGACTATTATGATTACAATTAATTTTCTAGAACAACTGAGTAACCCAAAAGCAGGGATTAGAACTGGTGGACGTTGCTAATAGATATTGTCTCAGCTGGCAGTGGGACAGGGGATATTCTGTGAGCAACCAATAAATGAGGCATCAGTATGGAAATTGCACCTTGGCCTTAGCTACAGCATTTTGTTTAGCATGGACATTCAATTAATTGGAAATGTGGCAGATAGGGACCAATTCTGCACAGCAAGGCTGTCTTTTGTAATAAAAATACATACATATATAAAATGATTTCTATTTAAAAAGTAACAGATGCCAAAAAAGTTTCAATAGCGTTAAACAGTAAACAGCGAGCTGTGTGCTTGTGTATCAATTTTATTCACCCACATTCTGCTATAAATAATATTTTTATGGATGATGTTTATCCCCTGAACATATTCCTGAACATCTTGAAAAGCATTTTTGGTATTTCTACCAGCTGCGTTTGTGCGGTGGGAGGAAATCTCCATGTTGTCTTCACCTTCCCTTCCATCCCCCACAAATTATTCACTATTTAGTGGGCTGTCAAAGGCTATTGGCCAGGCAACTTGAATCTATCATTCCATTCCTGAGAAAGTTAGTGCTAAACTGGAGTGATTCCACTAAGAATAGAAGAGTTTGTCTAGATGGTACAGACAATTTTATTCTTATGAAAAAATAAAACTAGACTGATGAAATATAGTAACTTATTTACACAGTAGCTTCTTTGCATTACTTCAATTATCATGAGGCGGACACTCCTCTGCCATAAATTTGCAATAATCAGAATGTTATAGTTAGTGATTTTCTTACCAGATATGGATACTGAAGTTTTTGCAACTGATGATCTTGAAGTTACATCATTTGCTGTAGAGAAAAAATATTTAACACAGTTTGTTAGAGGAAGCGGAATCTATTCAGCTAAAAATATAACCATCTTTATTGGTCTTCCATTCAATCGTGTTAACTGGGAGTATTCACCAGTAGAGGGCAATACCTAACTGCTAAAAGGACTTTAGCAGAACCGCTCCGGCTCCAAGAGGAGAGAGAGATACAAAAGCTCTTTTGGAATACCAACACAGTCCTTATATGGGAGGTATCACTCTGATCATACTAATACCAATAAAGAGAGTCTCTTTTCTATGGAAATTAGACAATTTGTATTAGAAAATGTAAAGAAACCTCAGCTCATTTTTGCTGGACATGATATTTTGAGCTAAACTAAAAGCAGTAATTATGAAGAACGAGGAGTACTTGTGGCACCTTAGAGACTAACAAATGAAAGCTTATGCTCAAATAAATTTGTTAGTCTCTAAGGTGCCACAAGTACTCCTCGTTCTTTTTGCAGATACAGACTGACACGGCTACCCCTCTGAAACCAGTAATTATGAAATACAGCTAGATGAAAAATATCCTCAGAGATATTAAACCATCCATGTATGCTTTATGGCAGTTTCCCCCCAAGTTGCTTGCTAGTTTTAGCTAATATTCTGTCCTATTGATAAAGGAAAGGATTTTCTCAAGGAAAAAGTCCAACATAAAGGCCAAATCACTTTAGTCTCATAAATACAGTAATCCTATTGAAGTCAAACTGACTTCAGTGGAGCCGTTGATTTAACTGAAGTTACACCAGGGATCAATTTTGTCATAGGACTATCTGAGTGAGACAATCAGGATTTGGCCCCCACATTGGAGGCCATGAAAAGGGGCATGGTGAAAATTGCCTTATAAGCCAAATTGTTATGATTCAATATGAAGTATGAAGAACTACTATTTATTTACACTAAGATCAAGCAGACACAATGTTCCTGAGTGCAAAAAAGCAGATATCAGTTTTAAGTCCTGTAGAGGATAGAATCAAAGTCAAGTTACAATATTTAATCCCATAAGAAGTGTGTTCTAGAACTTTGTGTTCGAGAGTTGTTCTGTGGAAATGTTTGGGTTTTTTAATATTATTGTGATTAGGCATTATGCCATCTATAAAACTCTTTCTAACTCCACATTGGTCTTTATGGAAGTTCTTTAAGATGTAATATTATTTAAGTAATATGTATAATTATCTTTGTGGAAATAATAGTGATGAGATGCTAAACAAAACAGCTGCTTGTGAAGGTGAATGGAATACTATATAAATTATCTTCATCTGCTTATCCCATCAACTGGGGTTGCCTCCATGCAAGCATCCACCATCTTCATCTGTCCAAGGCAGCACTAAAATTCACTTGCTTTCCATCTTCTTTGATGCAATCCAACTATTGCTTCCTTGGCTTTCCTCAGGGTCTCTCTACCACCTTCACCTGCCATGCTATTTTCACCAGGTTCCCTTCATTCATCCTCTGCCCGTGTCCAAACCAGTGAAGTCGGACTTCCTGGATTTTGTCAGCCACATCATGGATTTTGACTTCCATCCTAATACTTTCATTCTGAAATCTGTCTCTTCGTGTAACTCCTCTTATGGTGCAAAGACATCCCATCTCAAAACACCCATAGGCATTGAACCTATGATCTGTTTTTTGCCCATGCTTCTGCACCATTGCAGGGTGCAACATTGTTCTATATGGTTGGGCTTTTAGTCTCAGTGGCATATGCTTGTCATATACAAACCTTGAGATGTTATTCCACACTCTTCCAGCACTCCCCACTCATGTTCAAACTCATCATCTTCTGTGACCCAATTGCTAAAGTGCTTGAACTGGTCAGTCTACTTACTAATCTCTATGTTCATTTCCCTGGGGCACCTCAAATGACCCACAGGTCCTCAGTATTGTTCATGTTCATTTTCATGCCGTGCCAGTTTAGCTTGGCACTGGCTTGCTCTTTCCGCTAGGTCTTCTTTGAGGGTGCCCTTCTTGCTGTGTCATCTGCATATAGCGCTTCTCACCTTTTCCCATTGGGATCTTCCTGCTTATATAGTCCATCAATATGATAAACAGCAGTGGCCTTAGAACCAACCACTGGTGCAGTAAGACTTTCAAAGGGACTTGTCATTTCAAAAGATGTTTGGATCACTGTTTTAGGTGATCAATACAGGGCATTCACCATAGTTATTAAATCCTCTGACACTGCATATTTCCCCAGCACTGGTGTCAGAATTCTTCTGTCCACTTTATTTCCAATCCTACTTTATTGTGAGAGTTTCCTACATTTATAAAAGCCCAGAAGCTGTCCTGTTGGCACTCTAGCTGCTTCTCTATCCCTTGCCGAACTATAAACATGGGCTCTGTAGTTCCTCATCCTTTCCTAAAGCAAAACTGTTCTTGTTCAAGGAGGGGTTCCACCATTGCCCTAATCCTAGCATCCAAGATGTGTCCAAGTATCTTCATCTCATGTAACAATAGCTTTATCCCTTGGTAGTTTCCACATTCATGGATGCTTTCCTTCTTCTGTATTGGGACCCAGATAGACTTGCACCAGTCTTTGAGAATTCTTTTGTCTCGGCTTGCAGCTTTAACCACTCTGCTCATCCATCTTATGCCTCTCTCACCCAAGACTTTTGCCAGGTCCTTTGTCACTGCCTTACCATTTTTCATTTCCTAGACTGCATTTCTCATCTCCTCTGCTATACCACATGTTGGCAACTCTTCCCTAAAAGGGTTAGCCTCATTTAAGAGACTCTCAAAGTATTTTTTCCACATCAACTTCACTTGTTCCTGTGTTTTCTAGCAGTCTCCTCTGATCATCATTTACAAATGGTCTTATAATACCATCCTCCTTCTCTCTGCATCTTATTTTTGCAATGCTATATGTCTTTTTGCCAGCCATCTAGGGGCTGTTTACAAGGTTGGCATACAAATCATCTAGGGCACTCTCTTTGACCTTCTTCACTGCCTACTTGGCAGCTCACTTTGCTTCTTTGTATTTATTTTCATTTACTCTCAATGGAGTCATTTATTTTTCTTTACATACCATTTTCTTTTTTCAGATTTCTACTTGCATGTCATCAATCCAGCACTACTCCTTTCCTTCCCTGCCTTTTCCCGACCTGTATTGTCCATAAACCTCTTCCACCACACAATCCATGTTCTTCTGAGTGGTTCCACTCCTTTTCAGCCAAACATTTATCCTGTACTGCTTGCACAAACATCTCTGCTGGACTTCCCCTTAACTCCCGTACTTTAATATTGTTTCTTTTGAGATTAGTTCCCTCCTTGTCCAACACTTTGCTGGAATTTTTGCCACAAGAGGTTTGTGTTCAGTGCTACCGTCTTGCTAGGTATCACTTTGCAGTCCATAACTCAATTCCTCTGAGATTTCCTTACCAACATCATATCAATTTGGCTTTGATTTCCACCACTGATGTATGTAAACAAATGACTCACTCTCTTTTGGAACCATGTATGAGTTATCATCCACTGGTTGACAATACAAATGTCTAGTAGCTCTTTCCCTTCCTCATTTATAGTGCATAGACTGCATTTTCCTAAACACATTTCACAGCACCATCTGTTTCTGGCTGTTGTGTGCATTCAGATCACCCAGCCCCTCAGGTGCTGCTGTGTCCACTAGTGCCTGCCAGTCTTGGAGGAGACTCTTCTTTTCTTCCTCATCACATCCTTGTGGAGGTGAATATGCCAATACCACAAACACGACTCACTCTTTAACTTGGACTCATACAGCCATCAGTCTGTCACTTACTCTCGTAATTTTCAAATAACATCTTCTTCAGCTCTCCTCTAACAACCACCCTGATTCCCTTACGCCGCCTTTTGTCACCCACATGGAAAAGTTTGCAATCTAAGCCTAACTCCTTTGCTGCGTTCCCTGTCCATTGCCTCCTGTAGACACAGAACATGACACCTCTCTTTACCATCAGCTACTTCCATACCTTTTCAAAATTATAAAATTATAAAATATATAAATTAATTATTAAGATGGAAACAGCTAAATAAGCATTATTGGAATCAATCTGTGGGGTTTAAGTGGGTGAGAAGGAGAATTATGCTCCAGTGTGCATGCAAGCTAGTATAAAAAGTAAAATCCATCTCCTGCACAGGCTTGCTCACCACAGGCCCAATCTTACTAAGTGCTGAGTACCTCTTGCCAAGGTCCTCAGTTCCAATTAAATTAATGGGCATTGACTGTACTAAGCTCCTTAAAGCATCCCGCATCTTGAAATGGTCAGCATCTTTCAGGGTAGGGCCCATGGAACTCACACCTCTTCTTCCCCCTACAATAGTTTTGCTACCATGAAAACAACTATGTGAAGGGGACATGCTTGGGAGGAACAAACAGAAGAGCAACAGCATCCCTTTTATATAAAAACAAAATGCTACTTATTCATATTCTCTAGGACTAAAGCTCCCTACTCAGGTCACAGCAACAGGAAACCATATAAACAAATTTCTACTTTCACTCTCCTCCTCATTCAGCCCCCTATGTGGATTTTGTAATGTTTATCAGGTCAAGCACCATTAATCACTGAATGCATTAGAATACATAAAGAGCCGGTTATTCCTGGAGTAATAAACTATAAGCCAGTTGCAGATCTGGAGGCACCGCATGCAAGGGGAGAGAGCATTTTCTTCTGGATCACAAGCCTGCCTCCACTTCTCCGACAGCAGTGTGGGGAGTATGGATAGGAATTATTACCGCGAGTGGGGTTTTCTATTTGTCAAAGTGCAGGTTCAGGCCCATTGTTAGTATTTTATATTCTAATTTGCCAAATAATCATTAGATGAATAACAGTTTCTTTGTTGTTCAGGTTTTTGCCATTTCTCAACAGAAATAAAACAAGCAGATCTTTCTGGATAAACATAAATTATACTTTTTACATTACCAGATTCGTGAATATCAGTTTAAGACTGTAAAAATATTTTTTTAAAAATCTATGCATTATTCAAACTCTCTTAAAATTTTCAAATCATCTC